TGCTCATTATTTTGCCTTTTCATTTTGATTTTTTCCCTTTTTCTGTGCAGAGTTTGTAGTTTGATGTGGTCACACAGTTACCTGTGCTTTTATTTTCCTATGCCAAAAAAACATTGCCAGTACTAGTATCAAGGAGCTTTTTGCCTGTATTTTCTTCTCAGAAGTTTAAAATTTCAAATCTTATATTTAAGGCTTTAATCAAATTTGAATTGATTTTGTGTATAGTGCAAGCTAAAGACCAATTTCATTCTTTTACCTGTGGATAGCCAGTTTCCTCAATAGCATTTATTGAACAGTCTACCTTTTACACATCGTGGATTCTTCATATCCATTTGTAGAGAAGAGTTAACCCTATAGGTCTATTTTGGGGTTCTTCTCTCTGTTCCATTGGTCTGTTTCTATTTCAAAGGAAAGCTAACTTGTGAGAATCCTGTTGACAGAAGCTAAGATATCTTAAGGTATGGAATTTAAAAAAGAGAGAGAATTCACAAATTCCTTAGAGTAAGTAGTTTAGATGCCAATAACAGCTCTTGGGTACTAGTGAAACATCAATGGATGAGAGATTAATTCTGTAATAATTCCATTGTTTTTACCAACAGACTGTGTGGCATAATTCAAGCTCAAGACACATTGATTTACTTATGTTTGACAAAGGGCTTTGCCACATTCTAAATTTAAATCTGCCAACTTCCAAACTTGCTATTTCTTATTCTCGTACAGTAAATTCTAATTTTGTAATTTTAGAATGCTTTTTGTTGATGTAAACAACAATATATTTGTTTCTTAATTCATTTTTCAGTTCCTGGAATATGGCAGTATATTTTAGCATGAATAGATAACTGTACTGTTTAAATTGACTATAATTTTATGATATTTATGTCATTAACATAATGCATTTAACTTCAAATATCATATTCTGTGTAAAGATTTTGAAATATTAGCCACTCGTACATGTTTGAGACAAATTTTCTTAGCTAAGGTACAAATTCAATGTTAGTGGATTTGATTTGACATTTTATTTTGTAGTTTTGAATTTATTTTTGTGTAGGATATTACCCTATAATTGACTTTTTTTGAATTTTCTTTAGGTTGTCATCATGGCAAATCATCTGTCCATTCCTCACCTGTCAGCAGAGGTTGTTCATATAACATAGGAATTATCTTCTAATAGCAGACATTTCATCTACAAAATAAACAAATAAATAAAAGAGTACACACATCAAATTTTCTGACACAATCTTAATTTGGATCATGTAACTAACTCATCTGATAGATCTAAGAGTTCATCCCAGTATTTGCAAAATGTCAGAAAAAAACACCAAATAACCAAAAAATATTTATTAAACATTAAAAGTAAGTATTTCATTTTAAAACACTATTGGGAATAGGTCTTGAAAATGATGAACAATGAACAATTAGTGAAAAAACTCAAATGCTGAACTGGGCCTAATTAAATATCTATTCCAATCTGTACTCAACATTTAGCACATTAGACTTGTGTTTCATCGTCTTCTAAATTAAACCCTATTTAAGGGTAAACATGATGTCTTTTTTCTCTGTACTGTTTAGCATAGTCTGTGAAATAACAAAAACAGCTAGTTAGTATTTATTGGGTGTGTCTCATTCTTTAATAAACATTTTCCCTACTCTACTCTATACGACCTACATGGTAGTACAATTGGCCCATTTATAGATGAAGAAATGGAAGCTCACAGAGATTGTGATATATCTGAGATTTTATAGCAGCTAAGTAACTGAGTCAAGATCTGACCAGAGTTATGATTCACTGTTTCCATCATATCCACCCACTCTATGCACTTATTGAGTAGTATGTTAGTCAGCTTTCTAACACTATAACTGACACTTGAGATAATCAAGCTATAAAATGAAAAGGTTGATTTCAATTTACAGTTTTAGAGGCTCCAATCATGATCAGGTGGATCTATTGCACTTAGGCTTCTGGTGGGGACACCAGATATCAACAAGAAGGAGTGCATGAGACAGTAAAACTGCTCTGACCTTATGGCCAGGAAATAATAAAGAGACTCTAGAATCCTATTATCCCCTTCAAGACCATGACCTAAAGACCTCCCCGTTAGGCACTATCTTTAAATGGCTCCACTATCTTCCATTAGCACCATGCTCTGGGGACCAAACATTTAACACATGAGCCTTTGGGAATCATTACAAACCCAAACTACAGCAAGTAATATTAAATACATACTTGCTGAATTGATCAATGTTTTTGTAACTTCTTCAAAATTGGGTATTTTTTTGTTTGTTTTTTGGTACTAGGGACCGAACCTAGAGGAGCTGAGCCCAAATAAACCTTTTTTCTTTATAAGTTGATTACCTCAAGTATTGGTTATAGTGTTAGAAAGCTGACTAAAACACACTACTCATTAAGTGCATAAAGTGAGTGGATGTGATGAAAACAGTGAATCAGAACTATAGTCATAACTTAAGTTACTTAGATGTTAAGAAACAATACGTTCAACAGGCTACAGGGGATTTTCAAAATATATTTTTTTCAGTCTATACATTTCATATGATGGTTTGTCTCTTCTTTTTATTTTCTTCTACCCTTCCTCATCTTTATTTTTTGCCTGATTATCACTCTTTAAAGAAACTATACAAGAAAATGTTTGACTTGATTGTAGATAACTCACGTGACTTTTAATGTCAACACTATATTTTTCTTTTTATCATATTGTATAATACAAATCCAATTTTGAAAGTAAACATAGAGGTTTTAGCTTTTTAATCACAATTTTGGACTTGGGGCCTAATGGTAGGTAAAGACAGGACTTGTATTCTAGAAGACACAAGTTTGAGGCTTTCAATATCCTGGTTTTGTTAAAAAATAACTTGAATGGGTGAAAAATGAAGTATAGACACAAAAGTATTGATTACCAAACCATTTAATGTCGACATTGGAATGTAACATTTGAAATGAAGGCAGTTTCTGGAAAGTTGACTTCTCACAGGAAACTGACAAGGAGTCTTTTGTTACTGTGTGGCAGCGGGGAGTGTGGGCATTTTCATAAAATTAAAATGAGAAATATAGGAAACTTAACCATAGGGGACATATTTTATTCAATTGATTTCCATAACATTTGACTCTCTTGATTTTCTTTTTTCATTCTCTTTTGCAGGATCCTCCAGCTCTTCAAGTGGGGCAGCTCCAGGGTTGTCCTTGGTCTTCATCTCTTTTTCAGTTCTCTACATTCTCTAATATTTTAAAATAATATCTACATGCTAATGACTCCCCAATTTTTATCTCTAGCCCACCTCTCTCTCCTGTTGCAAAATCATGAAGCCCAACAATGCCAATTGAATCACTAAGCAATGTCTTGAGGGGCTGGGGTAGTGGCTCAGGGGTAGAGCACTTGCCTAGCATGTGCGTGCGAGATGCTGGGTTCGATCCTCAGCACCACATAAAAATGAATAAATAAAATAAAGGTACTGTGTCCAACTACAATTAAAAAAATGTTTTAAAAAGAGAGATGTCTTGAACTTTAACACTTCCAAAAATTGAAATCTTGATCTCAAATTCATTCCACCTGAAATCTTTCCTATGTCAATTAATGATATCTCCATTCTTCTGGTTGCTTAGGTCAGAAGTCTTAAGGTTTATACTTGACTCTTCTCTTTTTTAAATGTCCACTCAATAATCAGAAACTGTACCTTTCAGAAGAAGCTGATCACTTCTCCACATCCCCACCTCCATCTACCTGTTAGTCAGCTTTATATCACTGTGACAAAATACCTGAGATAAATAATTCACATGGAGGAAAGATATTTTGGCTCACAGCTACAGAGGCTTCAGTCTGTGGTGCTAGTGAAGGCCATGCTTTTGGACTTTAGTGAGGCAGAACATCATGGAGGGGAGTGCATGGCTGAACAAAGCTGCTCACTTCCTGAAGGTAGGAAAGTAGAAGTAAAGTTTATTATTACAGCAAAGCCCCTCCCTGCCAAACCCATTAAGTTATGAAACCATAAATGGATTAATCCTCTTATAAGGTCATAGATTTCATGATCCAATCACCTCCAAAAGGACCCACCTCTCAACATGTCGCACTGAAGATCAAGGCTTCTACACAAGAGCTTTTGGGGTCCATTTAAGATCCATAACATACTAGGTCTCCTTTTAAAAGAAGAATATGAGTGAGGCTTCTATAATTCAAGTTATTTTTAACAAAGCCAGGCAATAATCCCTCACCTGACTAGCATGCACAAGGCCCTGGGTCTGATCCCTAGCACTGCAAAAAGTAGAATGAAATAAAAAATAAAAGATCATATTATTCTTTTTTCTTTAAACACTTCAAGAAACCTGCATCTTATAAAAGTCAAAGTCCTTATGAAACTCTATGATCTGTGCAATTTCAATTCCTCTCCCCACTCCTTCATCTCTTCTATTTTCATGACTTCTAACCTGTGAGGTGCTTCTAGAACAGGCCGAATTTGGTACTGACTAGGAGCCACAGAGTTGGCTATTTCCTTTTCCTGGGCAGCTTTTCTCAGAATAACAGCTTCCCACCCAGATAACTGCTTAGTTTACTCCATTGCCTTCCTTAAGCTTTTGGCTCAGTGTAACCTTTTCAAGTGAAGTCTATTCTGAGAATCCCATTTAAAGTTGCAACATGCCTCTTTACCTGCTCATCTTTTATCCTGTTCTACTTTTTCCTATACCTTGTATTTATAGCTCACCAAACAACTTGGAGGATCATTTTCTTTCTAGTAAAATGTAACAAAATAGGGCAAAGGTTGTTTTGTCCCATTATATTGAGTGTTTGGCATGATAACAAACGTTCAAGGAAGGAGCCCAGGAACTCATCCTTTTATTGTTCATACATCTGGGTAGGCTATCGGCACTCAATCTCGGCACCTTCTTAAAAAGTCTGAAGCTCCCAAAGCCCTCTACTTTTTTTAAAGACCCTCACGACACCGGAAGTAAAAGCCCACAAAGCCGGTCAGAGAACAGAGCCACTTCCGTTTCCGTAGGGAGCAAAAGGAGCAAACAACATGGCGAAGGCCGGCGAAAAGAATGGCAGCAGCGGGAAAAAAAACTTAAAAAGGAAAGCCGCTACCAAAGAACCTCAAGAGGCTGCAGTTGCTGAGGATGGAGCGACGGAAAGCGGAGCCCAACCCCCGAAAGCCGCTGCCTTTCCCCCAGGCTTCAGCATTTCGGAGATTAAGAACAAACAGCGGCGACACTTGATGTTCACGCGGTGGAAGCAGCAGCAGCGGAAGGTATGGAGAGGCGGAGGTTGCCGGGCGCATGCGTGGTGTGCGTCGCGTGGAGGATTCCGGGGCTCACGAAATCTAGTTTGTACTTTGAAAGCGGGTGGGCGCGCAGTGTTTGATCTGAAAGGGTGATGCTAGTGGCTCGCGTGTCCTGGCTCCTGCGCTCTGCTTTGGAGACTTGTGTACAGCCTTTTGCCTGACCGTGTGGGTGGAAAGTTCCCTGTCATCTGCGCGGAGGGCTCATTCCGAGGGTTCTCCACTTAGAAGGAAGAAAATCCGCAGTCCTGTTTTACTAATGAGAATTATTCCCTCATTGCCTGGAAGGCGAGAGTCTCAACCCCTGTTTTACCCAGCCTACCCAACGTTGGTTAATTTTTAGCATTTGTGATCCAGGCGATACATAACAAGCTTAAAATATTGTTTCTGATTCCTGCAGCACCACTTATTGAAGTCTTAAGTTTCTAGTAATTGTATTTGTTCTTTAAAGCATTGTGCTCTGAGAGGTAAACAAACTGAAACAAATGACTCTCCCAAGGTCCTAGTGCTTATCTGTGATGAAATCGCTGTTGGAGAAAAGCATTTGCTTGTTTTTGCATATCATAGAAATTCACACATAGTATTCTTTTTATTTGCCTGTCTCCTCTTATTAGACTTTTTGAGGCCAGGGATTGATTCTTACATAAGTGCCATTGTGCCACTGGAGTACATTCAAAGGACATCTAACCTATTCTGGTATGCAAGTATCAGGATGGGAAATCCTAGGAGTCTTCTTGGGACAGTGACTTCAGAAACAATGAATTGAGGGTCAGTTGGCATTGGGGGTGAAAAGTATGTTCTGTTGTGTGTTAAGCATTCTGTCTAGAAATCAAACGATACGGATTTATAACAAATAATCCTACCCGACTTTGCACATTTTTAATTTTAAAAGAATATTTTAATTATAAAATATGAGGATAACTAGGGATAATTTTATTGGAAGCAACTTCAAACTCATCTCCCACTTCTATTTTTAGTGCTTTCTAACAAATTCAACTGTCATAACCATGATCTTTAGGATGTAATCATTTATGTAAAACAAAACTTGTTAAATTGTTTAGATACATATTTTGCATTTTCATAAATTTGATTTTTTGAGTAGCAAAAAAGGTGGTGAAATTTTAAATGCTCAAACTTGCCAGTTTACACTTTTTTTTTGAAGAAGCAAGATCTTTGTTAAACAAATCCTGTTGATTGGCTTATAGTAATTTAGATATAAAAATCTATATCTGGATGGTTATTTTAATGGATTACAAGTGTTGTATTCATAGCATTATCAATTTGTAGTTTCAGTATGTATTTGTGATATAACCTGTAGTTTCTTAATATTGTTCTTTTGTTTTTATCCCTTTAGGAAAAATTAGCAGCCAAGAAAAAACTGAAAAAAGAGAGAGAGGCTCTTGGTGATAAGGTAAATAAATTTTTAGTCATCTGTTTTCTATCTTGGCTATTACATTGATAACTTCTTCTAAATTTTTATGAAATATTTTATATTTATAGAAAGATGCAAAAATAACATAGCAAACACTTTTCTGTCCTTGCTCCTGCCTGCTTCTTCCTGATGGCTTTTCCTTCCAAATGTGTACCTAAATAGTAAGCATAATGATGGTGTTTTGGATGTCTTTTTTATATGTTTGGGAATGGGAAGACTCCTCAAGACATTTTGGTCTTTAGCTTTTGTGACTTGAAGCAAAAAAGGCTTTTTATCAGGCAAGACTGTGGAAAGACCAGATGGAGTCTTTTCTATAGTAGAGTGGAGTTCATGTAAGAATGAGAGCTGATAAAGAAGATTATGAACCTGTATAGAATGGGAGCAGGGTGAGACCTGGATGGATTATGGCAAAGAAAAGAGCAAAATATGTATTACAAGGGGATTTGGTGACTTTTGTGGTAATAATAAATGAAATATTTCATTGAAATTTTTTTAAAGCACTATTTAAAAATACTCCCACATTGTTGCACAGCTAAGTTTAATTTTCATTTAGTTTCATTTTGTTTATACATATTTCTAGGTTATGATTTATACTTGAAAACTTTTAAAAACATTCAACTCTTTCCACTATAATTTCTTGTAAAATAAGGTAACAAGTAAGAATAAGGTTTTCTGAGGAAGAGAAATATTAAGACTTTATATAAATTAAATACTTTTTCATGCATTCTCTTTATAGTATTAGGTTAAATCATATGAAATTGTCACTGTTAGACTATTTTGACCAGCAAAATTCTATGAATCAAGCAATGTTAGTATCTTTGAAACTCTTCAATAATCAATTACAACAAATTAATGTCTTAATCATCGCTTGAAAACATTTTCATTTTTTTGTGCTGAAAGATGATTTCCTAGAATTGGCTCCTTTAAAGATAACTTAAAACTTCCTACAGCATTTGTTCAGAGTAACAAAAAATAAAATCATGACTGGTTTATTAGTTCACATTTTCTTCATATCTCTGCTAGTGTACATGTACTTTTGATTATTTTTGCTTCTTCCTGGTGGCTTTTCCCTCCAAAGACAATCATTTTGTATAGTATTTGTGTAGTTCTGTTCCTGATCTTTGACAGTCATTTACATAATTTGTTCCTCTAATTGTGCATGATTTTAGCAGTATCCCATCATGTTAATGTATGGGTAATATGTGTAGTAATTACCCTCATATTGGATATTTGTTTTATTTATTTTTTTATTTCTATTAGAAATAGTGATACTATCCGTAGTGATATTTCTTTATAGATAGCTCCATCCCCTCCCCTTTTATTGCTTACTGTAAATTTCCCAAAGTAGAATTACATGGTCTGTGGATAGACTTTGCTATATATTTCTGACTAGCTATCTGAAGGAATTGAAACAAAACCAAATACATATATACTTCTGTAATTTTTTTTCATCTTTTTGTTTATTTGCTTTTGTTGTTGTCAGTAGTGGATAATTATTGTGAATGCTACTTCTCTTTGCTACTTTGGCCTAGTTTTTAAGCCATATAATTCAACAGTAATTATTTTTCTGTTATGTATATGTCTCTGCTCAGATGGTTAAAAAGCAGTATTCTTTAGTTTTGTTATCAGGATTGATGTAGTTTTATGGCATGTGTAGCAGTGGGTTGAAATGAGAACAGATTATGTTTTTAATGTATTTATGAATTTCTTCCACAATTGTAATATAATGTAAAATGCTTATTTGTAAAACCTTATCCTTTCTCTTTTTATTTAGGCTCCACCAAAGCCTATACCCAAGACCATTGACAACCAACGAGTTTATGATGAAACTGTAGTAGACCCTAATGATGAAGAGGTAATGTTAGAAGCCTTAAATGAATTTGAATGATCATCCTTGATAAATTGTATGTTGATATGTTAATATTTTGCTGGCTGGCTAAGTTGTATAAAATACTGATCCAGCTATAATGTTGGCATGTTGTCTTTTTTGGTACAAGTTATTTTATAATTGAATTTTCCCAGTACTGCTATAGAAAATTTCAATAAATATTTATTTTTTTTACAAATGCTTTGAATTTTATGAGTAGGTAAGATTTTAAATGTCATTTAATCTCTGAATAGCATATTGAATATTTTAAGAGTCTCTATACTGTAGATGTTTGTAGGGTTTGTTGGACTACTTTTTGGTATCTAAGAATAACATTTGATGGTACTTTTTTGCATACTCATAAAACTCTTGCAGACTGTCTAAAGAAATAACATGCAAAGTGGAAGATTATCTTAAATCTTGTTAGAGATGTTCCTGAATATATATATATTTTTTAGTGTAAATTGCTTCTTTTTGAAAATTGTTTTGTTCACTGATTTATTAGAATGCAGTTGAATTTTGGATAGTGGTCCTCTAAGCCAATAGCTTACCTATGCTCATTTCTAATAATTTGTCTAAGTACAGTTTTCATTTTTATGTATAGATAATAACTTCTTCAAATGACAGTTTTGTTTAAATCCATTAATATTTCATTTTTTCCCCACTTTGTGTTCACTAGAATTTTTAGCATAGTGTCAGATAAATAGCAAAGCAATAACGGTATTTTTGCCATGCTTCTGATTTGAAAGAGAATACTGCTGGTGTATCATCATTAATGTTTATGTCATCAAGGTAGATTCTCCTTATAGGTTAAAGAAATTCCATTTATACTTGTTTTATCACAAATGAATATAGATTGTTATTGGATTCTTTTTCTGCAAATATTGTGATGATCATGTGGTTTTTCTCCTAGCAAATGACATCTTATTGATTTTCTAATATTAAATACTGGCATTTTGGGGATAAACCCATTTTGGTTACTATATTTTATCTTTTTCTAAAATCTTGCTTGGTGTTGTTAGTACTTTGATTGAATTAATATGTGTCAGTGTTCATAAGCAAGACTGTAGAAATGACCTTTTTCATTCCTATTTGGGCATTTTAGACAGTTATTTACAAGAGATATAACCAAATAACTTTTTTCTTTGATCTTCTCTACTAAATTCGAATTCACTTTTATCTTTTTATTTCCTTCTCTCATCTTTGCATTTATTGTGATTTGTTTTATTGGTTTGCACATTTTTTATAATTTCTGATGTGAGCAGTTAAGGCCACAAATTTCCAAATACCACTCTTGGTATTTCCCACAACTTTTAAAATGTGCTGCTTTCATTATTAAGTCTGAGTATCTCCTATAATGACAGCTTTGTTGATTTCTTGTAATTTCGTTAGTTTTTTCTTTGGTTTTAAATTTTTAATTGACATTTTATAGGGTATACTATGATAATTTGTTACATGTAAACAATGTATAATGATTAAATCGTTTCCATCTCAAATATTATGACTTCTCTATGTTTAGGACTTTTATAGTGAACCTTGGGGTTGGAGGTACCTCAGTGGTAGAGTGCTGCTTGTTTAGTATGTGCAGTCCCTGTGTTCAATCCCTAACACAAAAAAAATAGAAAAGAATTACAACATGCATCTTTAATAAAGATGATACAATTCTGATAAAATTTAACAAGTACAGTACTAGTACAGTCATAATTACTTCTTCAAAAAAATTTCATGCTTTTCAAGGAAATCAAAAGTATGCACATATATATAGTCTTTTAATGGACTGCATTTTTACTGTTCACATTACTCTTCTTTTCACTCTCTGTATCTGAGTTACCACCTAATGTCATTTTCTTTTTAGCTTGTAGAATTTCTGTTAGTCTGGTTTTTTTTGTTTGTTTTTTAAGAGATAGAATTTTTTAATGTTTATTTTTTTAGTTTTCAGTGGACACAACATCTTTATTTTATTTTTATGTGGTGCTGAGGATCGAACCCAGCGCCCTGTGCATGCCAGGTGAGCGCGCTACCACCTGAGCCACATCCCCAGCCAGCCCCTGTTAGTCTGCTTTTATAACAGATTTAATAAAGCCAATTTTTTCAACTTTTACCTAGAAATTTGCATATTGCTTTCATTTTTAAGATAATTTTGAAGAATATAAAATTCTTGCTTTTTTCTTTTAATACTTTGAACATATCCCTCCACATATCCATCTTCTGCACTTTAGCCTTCCTTATTTCCACTAATCATCACTTCCCTGTGCTTTCTTTTATTTCACTCAAAATTTCCCGGTGTTGGCTTTTAGCAGTTTGATTTTCATGTGTTTAGATATCATTCTCTTTTTTTTTCTATTGGAATTTTTTGAGCTTCTTGGATCTGTAAGTTAGTATTTTTCATTAAACTTGTGGTGTTATCAGCCATTATTCAATATTTTTTTCCTGCCCTTTCTCTTTGGTCTAAGGGGAACTTCCTTTACATACTACTGAAATATTTGACATTATCCTACAAGTTCTCCCAGCTTTGCTTTACTTAATATGATTGTTTTCTCTGTCCTTCAGACTATGTATTTGTCAATTTTTAGGTTCATTGATTCTTCTCCATTGTCAGATCTGGTATTGAGACTGTGTTTTCCTTTTAATTCTATAGTGTATTAAATAGGATTGCTTTGAAGTCTGTTAAATTCAATATCCGAACCCACTTACTAAGTATTGACTACTTCTTTCCTGATTATGGGTCATACTTTCTTGTTTCTTATATACTCAATAATTCTTTTGGTTGAAAACTGGATATTTTAGACCAAATATTGTAGCATGTCTGAATTCCAATATAAGGAATGGTTATTGTTTTATTAATTTTCCTGGCCTTACAACATGGAATCTGTCTCCTCAATAGTAGCACAATATCTCTGCTTAGCAGTTTTTAAAAATTATTTTTAAACTTTCTCCTGAGGAATTGCTCCTGTGTTTATGTGGCTTAATGGTCTGTGAGTGATTAGGCACCTGGGTGTTGAGACACCTCAGGACCTAAAAACATACATACTTTTTCCTCCGAGCTGCATGTGGGTTGAGGAATGCCTTCAAGGTTGCAATCAGTTCTCAAGTCTCTCTTGTCTTTCACATTAGGTAGATTCTCAGATCTCCCCCAATACATATGTGAGGTTAGCTGTCAGCCAAGAATTATGGAGCAATAATCTTGAACACTGTATGACTCTTTCATTTCCATAGCACCCCTTTAAATTTCTGGCCAGTTCATACCCACCTTGAACGGGGTCTACTAACCTGGATTGGCAAAGCTGTGCAGGTTTTCACCTTCATCTCACAAAGCTCTATTCCTGTCTTGGTCTAGTCCACCATCTCTGAATCCAAGACTGCTAGTTCTTACCTGCCATCACCCTTGAAATTGTTACTGTTTTCACCAACCAAACTAATGAGAGAAATGGAATAGCTCTAGGCAAGATTCCTGATATTCTTGCACATTTCTCTAGCCATTTTTCAAGAACAAATGTACCTCGGTGTTTTAGTCAGCTCTTCTGCTGCTGTGACCGAGACTCGACAAGAACAATTTCAGAGTTCTTTTATTAAACATTTAAGTTTGTGCTTGCTACTCAGTTTGAATTAATCAGTTCTAACCTATATCTGGATATTTATATTGTTCATAAAATAATAAATAGTTTATAGAAGGAAAAAAAAGAACAACTTCAAAAGAGGAAAAGTTTATTTGACATTCACAGTTTCAGGGGTCTCAGTTCCTAAATGGTCAACTCCATTGTTCTGGGCACAAGTTGAAGCAGAACATCATGGTAAAAGAGTGTGGTAGAGGAAAGCTTATTAGGACATGACCACGAGGAAGCAGAGAGACTAAGGCTCTGCTTACCAGATACAATACATAGCTCAAAAGCACACCCCCAGTGACCCACTTCCTCAAGCCACACCTTATCTGTCTATAGTTCTCACCCAGTTAATGCATTCAAGTGGTTTGATGCACTGGTAAAATTAATGTTGTCATAGCCCAATCCTTTCACCCCTAAACTTTCTTGCATTGTCTCATGAGCTTTGGGGTGATACCTCTTATCTAAACCATAACACTCTGTGTCTTGAAATAATTTTTGACAATTTTATCTAGTTTTATACTTGTATTCTACAGACACAAAATCATCCACCCTCTTCATGTTGCCATTAACATCAGTTCCTCCTATGTCTTCTTTAAACTGTGTCAAATAGATGATTAATGACAGTGCTTTACCAGTAGAGCATACTTGTTTGATGTAAAATTATCTTCCTTGTTTGCAGGTTGCTTATGATGAAGCTACAGATGAATTTGCTTCTTACTTCAACAGACAAACTTCTCCCAAGATACTCATCACAACATCAGATAGACCTCATGGGGTAAACACATCCATTAGTATAATTCTTGAATTCTTAATCTACTTTTATTACTACTATTTAAAGTACTCTATTCAGAAGAATTAGTTAATGTCTTAGATAATGCCTGTGAATAAGTTATGTAAAAATAACTGGTGATAGGATATGAGTTCACTAAGCATGATTCTTCATATGTTTTCTCAACCTTAATACTATTAACATTTTGGGCTGGGTACTTCTTTGTTAGAGTACACTATCCTGTTCATCATAGGATGTTTAGCAATATCCCTAGCCTTTGTCCATTCCATGCCAGTAGCCAACCATAAAAATGTCTAGACATTGCCAAATGTCTTTTGGTGGAGCAGAATCACTCCTTGTTGAGAACTGATGCTTTAGGATGATTAGCCTTTGATAAAAAATGAAACAATGTTCTGATTTCATTCTTTTCCCAGTCTTGTTGTCTATTAATAATACTATAATAATCATTATTCCTTTTCTTGTGAGAATATAACACATAACATTCTTTTGCCCTTTTGAAAATATTTGCTATTTTGTTTATAGAGAACAGTACGACTTTGTGAACAGCTCTCTACAGTTATACCAGACTCACATGTTTATTATAGAAGAGGACTGGCTCTGAAAAAAATTATTCCACAGTGCATCTCAAGGGACTTCACAGATCTGATTGTGATTAATGAAGATCGTAAAACACCAAGTATCCTTTTTAAAAATAAAAGGAAGTTTTCCTGTCTGTTCTCTCATTTTGTTTTAAAAATATATTTAAGATAATAGGAAATTTCCCTATAACTTCCAGAACATAATATTTTTTTCCCAAAAAATTAATATCTTTATCCAAGATTCTACAAACAGATTTTTTTTCCTTTTTATTCAGCAAACATTTATTAGGAATATATATACCCAAGACATTGTTTTAATCCTTAGATAAAAGATGCAGTGATAAGAGACATCAGCTTTCAGGGAATTCAGTCATGGGACAATATTCTTTTTATATCGGTGAATATTGATTATTATATAAATGTTTTAAAAGACTGTTTTTTAAAACATAAGTAATTTTTATTGGTTTTATTATTTTAAATATAACTGAAATATATTTCTTTATTCACTTATACTAGTAGTTTTCCAGAAGCAAAAATTAATATTGTAATGTGGTGCTTTGTTGGCCATATTATAATTTGTCTTAACCAGACTAATGTACCACATTAAAACCTTTTGAACACTTAACTATTCCAGAAAAGATCCATTTCTAAGGCAGATGCTGCTTATTTTAATTGCCCCCCAAAATAAAGTGCCAAGGTCTGTTTTCCTCTTTTTTTGTCACTTAAACCACAGTCATTTCAAGATTACCATAACTCTTAACAAAGAAGTAGACATATAATTCAGTAAATTTTCTATTCTTTTACTGAGGTATTTCATGAAGACACAGATTGCATTTATACCATCTGTGATCTTCAGAAAAATTACACTGCCTTTTCTTTATAAAATTGTATTCTTTTTTACCTAAAATATATTATTTTCTGATTACCATATTGGATACTTTGTAGGGTAAGCTGTCAGCCTCTTTTCCTCATTACTGAATGAAATAGCCATGACTCCTTGTTTTGTTTGCATGATTTGTGTCAGGTATTAGCAATAACATAAAGCTTTTTGTTTAGATACCAGGAAAGTTTTTTAGGAACTGATGAGTTTGAATTTTTGTACTTTGCTTTTGACATAAACCACAACTTATTGGGAATGTTCTAGGAAGGATTTGAAGCCTTGATTGGGGTTAGAAGAAATGACCTTTACACTTCCTAGTCCCCTTAATATTTGATGATTTTCTCAATGTGCAGATGATACAAAAACACTTCCTATATTTCATGAAGTTGCACATGTGGTGAATATTTTAAAAAGAAAGAAAGAATTAAAATGTTTGCTGGTAATGTGTGATGTGGTAGTCACTAACGTCCGAAAGAAAAAGACCTATTTTCCAGAGTTAACAGATAGTTAGGAGAAAGTGACAAGTGCTGTGGTAAATAACAATGATAGCAAAGATTTGGAGCAGAGTTCTGACTATAAAAAGGTGGGACTTGCAGTGGATCTTAGGGTGAGTGAAGTGCTGCAAATATTCAAAATAACAGCCAAAAAAAATGCACTGATAAGATAAACATGAAATATAAGAATATGAGATTGCGTGGGTGCCTACCAGTCAGGAAATAGTTGGGGAAAGAAAAAGGGGAAATAAGAAAGGCAGTTTGTAGCCACATTACAAGTGCCATATTGATGTCTTTGAGTTAGTAACAACAGAATGTGAAATTAGGTACAGCTATCAAGACTGTGAAGGTATCTAGTTTGTCACTTTGCACAGGAGAAACTATGGTGCAAATGAAACGACACTGCAAAGTCACATAGCTTATTATTTCAGAGAACCAAAGTCTAAATCCAGACTTGATTTATAGTCTGTATTAGAATGTACTTGACATGGAAAGAATAGAACTAACCACAATACTGTTTTCAATGATGTACATGGAAAATCTCAAGAATCTCAACTGTGACAATAACAGGGTAAAGAGGCAGGTGTAGAAATGAGAACTTGTGAAGGTGGAGGATTAAAATTTGGGATGGGGGAATAGCAACGTATTTTATACATTTCATGTTGTAAACAGATAAGGATTGAAATAGTCTTGATTCTGACCTACATTTAAGGTTCAATTATTTAAAAATACTTTTAATTGTAGATGGACACAATACCTTTATTTATTTTTCTGTGGGGCTGAGGATTGAACCCAGTGCCTCACATGTGCTAGGCGAGCACTCTACTGCCAAGCCACAATCCCAGCCCTTAAGATTCAATTTCTGAGTCAGATAAAATCATGTTTGAAATTTTCCTTAAACTCAAAAAGCACACTATAAATTGAAATCCCAGGCCATAGCTGTTAGTTCTTCCTGCTTAAAGTACAAATGGACAGTAGCCAAAATAAATTCATGGGAAAGTAAAGGAGAGAGGTTCAAGTCAAGTTGTGCTAGAGACCTGAGGACTGTTGAATGGAAGTTTGTTGTAGTTGGGACTTTTAGTCTTTGGGCTGCTAACCTTGCTGATTATATGTAGATGTAATATATTTCATTTGTAGTTTAAGAGTGTCTGGCATAATTCTGTTTATGGTAGACAGTAAGTAGTTATTAATTGCTTGAATTTGTAGTACAGTAATAAAACCTAAGAAATATTAATAACTTTGATTTCAATAAGAACATTTAAACATTTCTGGTCTTGTGGCATATTCTAAGTTGATACCATATCCTAACAGTACAAACATTAAAAAGTGGCATTTTTAGGGTTATAAGTCTTCCGAATATGGAAGTAAACTTAGGTTGTTTATGTTGCTACATTATTCCTGCTTGAGTAGTGGTCTTTAAGTAACTTTTTTCCTACCTACTTTAGTTGAAAGTGCAAGATAACTTTGTTAAGAGTGATGACTGGCTATTTCTTATTTATTTATTTAAGAAAAGATATGCTCTAGGTTGTTTTCTTGAAAAGATTTAGGTTGACTGATGTGTTTTTGAGTTTCTGATACATATTAATCCAGGAGAATATATGCATTCACCTACTCACTTCAGATTTTTTTTTAAAGTTTGTTCTAATTAGTGATCACTTCAGATTTTAAGGCCATTTGGACATGTAGGAGACTACTTGTTTTAGTTAGCATTTTGGCTGCTGTGACTAAAAGACTTGACCAGAACAAGTGTAAAGGAGGAAAAGCTTATTTAGTGTCTCATGGTTTCAGAGGTCTCACCACATACTGGATGGATGGTGAAGCACATCCCACATTTTGTTAAGAGTTTTGCTTTATTTTGTTTTTTTGCAGGTTTTGGGGGGATTGAACCCAGGGGTACTACACCACTGAGCCACAAACCTATCCCTTTTAAAAAACTTTTAAGACAGGTCTACTAAATTGCCCAGTTCACAGCCAGCAGGCTCCATTTCTTGGGGCATAAGGTGAGGCTGAACACAGAGGAAGGAAGGGTGTGATGTAGGGAAGCATTCACCCAATACAAAATACATACCCCAAAGGCACACCCCCAGAGGCCCACCTCCTTCAGTTATACCCTACCTATCTTCAATTACCACTCAGTTAATCCCACCAGGGGATTAATTCACTGATTGTGTTAAGATTCATAACCCAGTCGTTTCTTCTCGAAACCTTACATTGTCTCACACATGAGCTTTTGGGGACTCACGTGCAAATCATGACACTAGTTATTTTAAACAATTTAAAATAATGTGTTTCTTAACATCTATGTACAGATGGACTTATATTGAGTCACTTGCCAAATGGTCCAACTGCTCACTTTAAAATGAGCAGTGTTCGTCTTCGTAAAGAAATCAAGGTAAGTTTTATGCAATCCTTGATTGGTATTGATTTCATATTATTTGAATAATAGATTATTTTATCTTGCAGATCAAATTCATTTTAATGACATTTGTTCTGATGAAAGCAATATTTTACCTAACAGTTTCTCACCCATATCCCGTGCAGGTGAGGGAATGGGTTTCCCTTCAGTGGGATGGGCTGGCTGAGAAATTAAAGCTAAGTAGAACCATGAAGTGACCACGGAACACAGAAAGTAGTTTCAAAGAGTGGGCAGAGATGGGCAAAGCTGACCAGTCTAAACTTCTAGCCAAGAGAGCCTATGTTTGTTTTATTTGTATTGGAAAACATCAAAGGCTTTCAATAGAAAATTCTTTACCAAAACAGGATAGAAGTGGGGGCAGGTAGGCTGCTTAGTTCTAGTGGGTTACGCCCATCTCCAGTGCATCGTGGGACCTTTCTAGCAGGGGGGGGGGGGTTCACTTGTGTCAGGCAGTCTACCCTGGTGGGACTGCCATGAGAAGTTCCCAGTGCCAGATCTACCCCCTCACTGGATGTGATGCTGAAAAATAAAAAAGGTCCTTGTGCATTTCACAGATGGCTTCCTCCAACAGTTTTCTTCTGTTATTGTGATGATTTATGGCAAACAGGAAATAGCCCTTGTTAGTAAGAAATTGCTGATTTTCTGACTTTTTTGGTGTACTCTGCATCTTACTTCATTGGCTTAATAAACTATCCATGGTAGTCTGCCATTTAAAAAACAATACAATAACTCTTAAGTTTCTCATTTGACCTCTAAGTTCCAAGACATGCACTGAGAGGTATTGTTTTGACAATTTAGCTTAATTTGTTATTGTGATTTTTCACAATTTTTCTAGAGGAGAGGCAAAGACCCCACAGAACACGTACCTGAAATAATTCTGAATAATTTTACAACACGACTGGGTCATTCAATTGGACGTATGTTTGCTTCACTCTTTCCCCATGATCCTCAATTTATTGGAAGGCAGGTTGCCACATTCCACAATCAGCGTGATTATATCTTCTTCAGGTTTCACAGGTGAGAAATGTATTCTGAACTTACATTTTCAACATGAACCTATTTTGTTTATTTTGGGGGTGAGGTACTAGGGATCAAACCTGAGGCCTTACACATTCCAGGCAAGTGCTCTACCACTGAGCCACATCCCAAACCCTTTAACATGAATCTGTTTTCTAATATATTATGGCAAATCTTTTAAGTTGTGTCATAGGAAATTAGTCTGAATGAGCCCAACTATTATTTCTTTAGCATTAACTTATTTTGTCTTTGAAGATATATATTCAAGAGTGAAAAGAAAGTGGGAATTCAGGAACTTGGACCACGTTTTACCTTAAAATTAAGGTCACTTCAGAAGGGAACCTTTGATTCTAAATATGGAGAATACGAATGGGTACATAAGGTAAGTGCTAACTATTTGAGAAATCCATTTAAATCATTTTAAATGTGATGAAAAGAAAACCTTGTGCTTTCATCTTTGGGTATTTATACCTTAAACGGTGGTTCTGAATTTTTTCCCCTATGGGCTAGAAAGAACCAATCTGATATGGTATCTGGGTCTGAGGCTTAACTGTGACTTATTTGAAGTAGCATAAGAGATAATGATTCTCAAAGTAAAACTGGCAATGTCACTTTAGCAATGAAAATTCTTGGAACCCTGATCTACTGGATCAGTTATGGCTGGGGGTGGAGGATAGCATTGTTTTAGGCCTGGGTTATGTGATTCTACTGCATGTTTCTTGAGAACTGCTGCTAGTATTTCCTATGCCTAAAGATCAATTTTTACTATCTTTACCTAAACGGTTTTCATAATATATTTTTCCCCTCTAATTTTCAGCCCCGGGAAATGGATACAAGTCGAAGAAAATTCCATTTATAAAGTCCTAAGGAAATAGTATTGGATTTTGCTGAACTTGGTAATTTATTTGTGATAGAACACCTTTTTCAAAATAGCATTTATTGATTTTATAAATCTTCATGTCTGAACAGTTGACCAAGTGCCATGAATTGCCACTCTACATAGCAAATCAAAATAAAAGTAATTTGGGTGAGGATTTAGAATTTATAATTCAGGGTGCCTAACAATTAATTTGCTTACATTGGGGTAATTGTGAATGATTCAAACTGAAATAAAGACTCAGATTAACTTTCCTATCTACATTCCCAAATAACATGTGGGCTGGAGATAAACAGAATGGTTGATGGATACCATGTAACTCCTAATTTATTATCAGATTTCCCATTATCTTGCTCCTTTTTAACCTCATTACATGGTATGGTATTACATAGTAGGTACTGTCTCAAATCCTGAAGTTTTTCTTACTACTACTAATGGAACGTTCATTGCCAATCTTCTCTCTACTACCATTCTTATTAAACTAAAACCATCCAAGTAACTGGCTACTTAAGTATAACTGGTAATACCCCTGGAAAGGAGGATATTGTAAATATTATTAAGATAAAATTATGTAAATAACTCAAGGACAGAAACAGCACTTTACCCCAACTTTAAAAGAATAAAGATTTGCAATTTATACTTGGTAAGACACAAAATAATATAATTGGTGAAACAATGAAAAGTTAGAACTAAAAATTTAACCCCTTCAAGTGTCAAAACAGCTTAAAACAATGTTTTTCATAAAATAATAAAGCAATAAACGTTTATACTAAGTATTTTATTGTATGTTGCTGCCAGTGTATATAAAATAATTACACTTGTGAAATAGAAACTCATGAAAATTCAGAGAGGTAGATGTTAAGGACTGACAAAAGTAGAAGTTTATATTATGGCACATGTTATAGGGAAACTTTTTGTACAGGCTTCAAATTTAGCTCTCTTGAATATTCACTGGTTCTTGAGCAGTGGTTTGGGAAACCTGAAAGGAGGGGGGAAAAAGTGAATTAGAGTAAAGTATCATGGATCATTTTTCACATTTTTTCCAAGAATACGTAACAGTAACCATTGTTTATTTAATATATATGTGTGTGTATATTTTTTAATTGCTCATGTTCTTTGCCTATTTTTTTCTTTAACAATACTTCTTATATAGATGGTCCCCAACTTAACAATCTTTTTTTTTTTTTGCCTTTACAATGGTGTAAAAACAATAAGTATTCAAGACAATACTTTTAGGTTTTGAATTTTGAGCTTTTCTGGTATTGGGATATTCAGTATGATCCTCTGTCAGTGCTAGACAGCAGTGAGCATAGCTCCCAGTCTACTACATGATCACAAGGATAAACAACTGATAATCCACAGTGAAACTATGTTAAGATATCCTGTTTTGTTAGGTATACTAAATGCATGTTTGACTTAGGATGGGTTTGTTGTGATATAACACTATCACATGTTTAGGAGTATCTGTATTACCTTTAAGGGGTTTCATTCAAATGTCAGTTTATAAAGAGCTTTCACCTGAATGAAACCTGTTGGAAAACATCTATTTTTTTTTTTTTTTAAAGCAGATACATCACAGGATTTTTAAGAAAGAATATAAAAACAGGATGGGAAAAGACTAATGTTATGGGCAGTAAACTTCCAACTTTCTCTTAATTTTCATAACTATTCTCATTATTAGTACTGACTGTTTATAAACAGACTTACAGATTAACTTGCTAAGATTACTGCTGAAATACACTGTATCATAATAAAGTATATATAAGTCTCAAATCAAGAAAACTCTGAACACTCCTAGAAACTCAATAAAGAATATTTGGAAGAGCAGTAAGTATATGAAAAACATGCTCCTAGTGAAATACTATACTGGTGAAGTGCTATACTATAGCCAGTGGTTATCATCAAGTATTATTAAAACTTCAAATTTTTATTTCTTGTTTCCTAATTTTACTTCCAAAAATTTATCTTAAAAATTGGAGACAAAGTAGATATATAGACACCAAGATGCCCGCTACACTATAGCTTCAAATTCAGAAACTTCAACATTAAATGAAGTACATTTAAGTTACGGTACATACAACCACTGAAAATCTTAATTATGAAGAATAATGGAATAGGAAAATTCATTAAGTATTTTTAAAAGGTAGAGAATATAGGTGCTGCTGCTGTGACTCAGTGGCAAAGCACTTGCCTAGCACACATGAGACACTGGATAGAGTAGAATATAAAACTGCACTATTATGATTTTTAAAAAATAAATTATTTTGCTCTTAAAAGGAAATATGCCTGTAACAATGGTTATTTCAGGATGTTATGAAACATCCTGAAATTCTCATGAATAATGAAATTAACATTGCCATAAGCAAGGAAATAAGACTATTAAATATGAAGGTGCTAAACTGTTAAAAGATTACTTTATGAAAAAACTCTTGATTTTTTTTTCTTATATGGTGATTTCTTATATGCCTGTTAACTTACCATATTTTTTTAAAAAAATTATAGCCTACAGTTTTTAAAAGCCACATTTTTTAAGTGTAAACACTACTATGTAGTTTTATATCCATGCCATTTAGCATAGACTAGCACCATCAGTATATAAAATGAGAGCTTATAAGAAATGCAAGTTCTAGAACCTCACTCAAGAATTCCTAAATTATAATATGCATCTGAATAAGGTGATCTGTACATATATTCAAGTTTTTGAGAAGCAATCTTTTTATACCCAAATTTCTTCCTTATCCAAAATAGCTTTGATTTATAATATCCACAATGTTCTTTTCTTAGTCTGCTGGGGTTAACAGACATTATTTTACTTTGAAATCTGGGTTCTTATTCTAATCACCTTCATCAACTTGAGCAAGTCATTTTAACACTTATCTATATATTTTTTATATATTTTATATAAAAATATCTATATTTTTATATATTTTAATAGTTTTATACGAAATAAAACTATTAACAGCCTGCCCAGTTTTCTTAACAGTACTTTATGTTAAATGAAAGTAAACCACTTTGTAAAGTGAATACAACAGAACCCGTAAGTTTTAAAAAGGACCAACAAAAAAAAAATATGAAACATCCTGAAATTCTCATGAATAATGAAATTAACATTGCCATAAGCAAGGAAATAGACTATTAAATATGAAGGTGCTAAACTGTTAAAAGATTACTTTATGAGAAAACTCTGTTACTTATAAAGGGTTTTTTGGTTGTGCCCACCACTACCACCCCCAGGTTTCAAAAAACTTAGCCATCCTAACCAATGACTGTGTTTACTGGAAACATGCTGTACTTACACACAGACTTCCTGGATACTCCCAAGGTCTACAAAGCTTAATTAGGGAGGGCACATCTATTTAACAAGGTATTTTAGGAAGCAGGTTCCTGACCTTTTCAAATGAGAAAGTAAAGGATGTGTGCTATATACAAAATCTTTTTTTTAAAGCACTATTCATTAAAGTTTGATGGTCAAAGTATTGAACTATGGGTACATGCCCTAATTTAAATACTAAGGATTTAAAAAGATAGTATCCTTAGCCAGGCATGGTTGCACACACAACTTGAAAGCCTGAAGTGGGAGGCCAGAGCACTGATCACAAATTAAAGACCAGCAAGGACAATCTTAGCAAGACCATCTCAAAATAAAAAGGGTTGGGAATGCAGCTATGTAGTTCAGTGGTAGTGCTTGCCAGCATATGTGAGGCCCTAGGTTCAATCCCCACCATGGCAAAAGATAGCATACTTGAATTCATATTCTAAATTACCAGAGAACATTTTTGGGGGTGGGTGGGGGGTGGGGAGAGGAGTCACATCTCTTTTGGACAAACATACATTATTATACAATGACATCTGACCTGGAAGAGACCAACTAACACATAGAAACATTCTTTTTATAACAATTCAGGAATTGGTTTCTTGCTGTTTCTTAATCCTTAGAAATCTAATCCACTGTCTACCACCACAAAAAATACCTCATTTCTCTGTTAGGTTTTTTTCACAACAAATAAGAAAAAGTATAACCTGCTATTCCTCACTCCCAATAACCAGCTCCACATCTGCTTATGCAAGTACCCCACTGACTTTCTCTCTCCTAATTCCCAGTTGTTTGCTCCACTGCCCTATAGTTGGGTTCTATTACAGCAACATGAGGATTCATCCAAATCAATTGGTAGTGCTTTATTAGTCATTCCCCATGGACACTTCACACTTTAAAAAACTATCTAAATATTTGCTTGATTCAGGAAAATAAAATTAATCTACTATTTGAGGACCCCAAAATATGCATGTCATTAAACCAGTGCTATAAAAAGTAACACATGACTATCACAGCAAATGGAGTTTTATAGTAACTCTCCTAAACCTCTTATGGTTATTAAGTCCTGTATTTAACCTTCTTTGTGATGAAACAGAAATGACAGTTCATGACTACTAAATAAAATTTCATAGATCCTCAATTTCTCACAAAATTGACAACGACTGGAAAATTGGGACTGCCAAACAAAATGCATGGAATGATCCTGTAAGTGCTGCAAATAAAAAGGGAATTTGTTTTGTTTTACTTAAGGAAACTTACCTCAGAGTAAGATTCATTTGACTACAAAAAGGAACAGACTTTCTGAGGCCTGAAGGGATTTGTACTTGAAGACACTCCAGTCAGCAGGGGATCATGTTGAGCATTCTGCAGACAGAATTGTTTCAAGTCTGCAGCTGCCTGGGAAACCTATACACAACAAAAGAAGGGGTGGGGAGATACCAGTTAGTAAAGTTTTAATGATTTTTCTCAAATCTTTGAAAATACTTGTACTGAACAGCACTTCTCTTGCCTTAGAAAAAGATAGAATATACTAAATGAAAAGTAACAATCATATACCGTCTCTTAAACATTCCTTGTAAACAAAACTATAGTATGTTCTTTTGCCTGCTTATTAAAAGTTCAGTTCAAATGATTTATTAGAAACTACTATTAAAGTTTATCTACAAAGCATAGCACTTCTTGTTTATTAGTAATAGGCTGTTCAAGTACTTAACATCTTTTTTAAATTAAAAGCTGTACATGGTATTTTTGGAATAAACAAGAACAGTCTTAACATTCTAGCAAACTATTACTTTGTCCTGAAAGCCGTGTCATTGGGGGGGAAAAAAATGCTACTGTGAATGAATATAATGTGGAATAACTAGCATGGTACATCGGTCTTCAAATTTATGTTATACTCCTTTGCATTTAGAACTAAGAGAGGCCTGCCTTCATTCACATAGTTATCTACTATTTGTATATTCTGGTAAGATGATGTATTAACAAAATAAGCATAAAACCATAAATGTGCCTTAAATCTTAGTTGAGGAGCACTGCATACACATGAAAGTCACAATTGAGACAAATACAGTTTCTAAAGGCAGCCTGCTCAGAAAGGTTGTTAAAACTGAGATTTGTTATTAGCCTTTAAAGCCACATGACAAAAGGCAGAAAGCTGTCACTGCATACAATTTTGTAACATTAACAGTTGATGGTACAATAATAGCAAAACAATAAGTTGAATGGTTCGAATATAGAACTTGGATGACTATTATGCCCCAATATCCTCAATCTTGAATTGAGATTTAGGAAGACAGAAAAGAAATAATCATTTGTTTCATTCTGTCTTAGTTATTCCTAAGGACACATAGCAAATGTCCATTGCTCTGGCTATGTACCCTTTGAAAGAGTTAATTCCATTACCAATGTCCCCTCCACCAAAAACCCCTGTATATTCCAAGCTGTATCCCAGACCTATTAAAAGAATCCATCATCCTGAGAATCTAAACTCTTCTCCAATCTTATTTGTATTTGGCTTATGCAACCGTCCACAATAATGAGTTCCATGTTTATTAACTCCCATGAGTAAGAAGTATCTGCACTTTTAAAATCCTTGTAACAAGTACTTTCACAAATGGCTGTGTCCCTTCCTCACTCCACTTCCCCAAAGTGTTAAAAGTAGGGGAATGGGCATTAATCAGCTTCCACAATGTTAGAGGATTTGGTTTCATTCAAATTGACCCAGTAAGAAGACAGTGCAGTGCCTGTTTATTTTCTGTTTCAAATGTAGGTAGGGTCCAACTTAACTCCTTTTCACAAACTACTCAAGCATGGTTATGTGCCAGCTCTACTTCTAGGCACTGAGAATAGTAAAGAACATCAAGATCCCTGCTGTTTCAGTGCTGACAGTTGTGGGAAAAAGAAAAGGTTCTCTGCAGTAAAAAGAGATATCCGTTAAAAAATGACTGGGAACCAAATATTACACTGAGATGATGTGACATTTAAGCTGAGATTTCAATAACAGATCAAACCCAAAATAAGAGATCAGTGAAAATCAGCATCCCAAGCAGTGGGGAAACCTCAAACTAAAACTGGACACTGGACAAGCTGTTACCCTTCAAGGCACAATAATCACCCTCCAGAAAGTTGAAACACTAAATTGACATAACTATTAGCGTCCCTTTTCACTCTGCTGACCTACCTGTGAGAAAGTTTGTTAAGTACTTGTAATAATTTTTTCAACTGTACTCATATAAAGGTTTAAAGTAAGTTTGTGCTAGTTTTAAAATAACAGAAAAATCATCTACCACAGAGGCACTGATAAAATAGGTACACAATATGAAATAGAACCTAGACACATTTTGCAATGCATATGAGAAGACTCATTTAAAATCCCAAAGTGGGATGCCCTCCCCTCCTTGCTAAAGCCCTAACATCAGGCAGAAACTGAAAATTGCAAAACTGAATCATTTGTGGTGGTTTTAAAGATTCCTATCAAAAATCTACAGAAGAATTGGGTGTATGAGGCCAGGGTCAAGCTGTGAGTTGGAAAGGCAGCAGCTACTAGGATTTTCAAGGTAAAGGTCTTGGAGTATTTTACTCTGAGGACTCATTTTCTTTGGTGACAAAGGCAAAGCAGCACTGATATTTACTGTGTCATTTTTTTTTTCTTTTTTCTTTTGTCTCTCTGATCCTTCATGTTCTTTCCTGGTACACTTCAATCTGTGATAGAGGCACACATGAATGATAATGGTTAAGAAATGGATGACTTCAAACTTCAGATCTCAATCCAGCCAAAACAGTGACGATAAACCACTGGGATGAAGTGAGAATTTGGGGATTAGAGAAATGAACAACTATGCAGTTTACACATTAGTGAGGGAGATTCCACAATAAGACCATTGGAGTTTCTCTTCCCTCCTGAGGTTACATCGACCAAGTAAGCTAGGTCTATGACATTTCTAAATAGGAGCCCTCACTCCACAAAACATTTCAGGAAGAAATACTGACTTGCTTGATGAGTTGTAAAATCAAATCATCTTGGAACCTGGCTGTTTCTAGCAGGGTAGTGATTTATAATTCCTGTGTTTCTTTTTTTCAATCACAAGTGTTTTACATGTAACCTATATATTGCACTAGAAAGAAGCCAATCTGTTTAGGATTTTAAAAATAATAAACACTTGCTACAGCACTTCCATGTCAGGTTGTCAATACCAACATCAACAAAAGATTTTTTCCCCCAAAGTAAATATCCCAAGATAAAGCCAATGCTATCGAAACATCAAAGTAAGTAAGACCAATTCTGGCCCATCCTAATCACTTTCTTAGCATGTGGACCAGTAGATACACTTAAGATGGGATCCAAGCAAATTGCCCAGGTCTGAAATGCACGCTTTGTGCGAGATTGTAAGGGACAAAGGTAGTAAGACTCCGGAAAAGTTTCGAAAACAGTTATGCAAGAAAATTCGTTTTCAATTATGTGTTCAGTGGTTTGGAGAATTTGGAGGTTAAGAACCTAGTACTAATTGGAGTAGGTCTGGTAAAGATCTGAAATGAAAAAAAGTTAATAAGTCGGCCATGAATCAAAAGTCAAAATACCCAGTCCAGAGACTAAAATCGGTGAAGGCTGGTAAAGATGGGCGGGAAGGGAAGGGCGCGGACCAGCAGCAGCTGGCAAGGCCAGCCGAGGAGTCACAGCGGAGGGAGGGAGGGAGGGAAACCGGAATGCGGGCCGCTCTTCAGCCTGGAGGCCAGCCCGCCTTGGAAAGTCCTGGGGCTGAAGGGCGGACTAAGGGGGCCCTCCCAACCACCGCGGGGATCCGCGCGGCAACTTTCCTAAAGCTGGCTGCTCCGCGATCGATGCCCGAACAGGCGTCCTCCCAGGAGAGTCACCGCGAGCCGGTCCGCCCCAGCTGGCTCGCCCGCTGCCGCCTCCCCCTACCCGGTTCGGCTGCCGCCCCCGCTCACCTTCACGCGGTTGAGCCCAGCCTCCAGCCGGAGCTGCTGAACCACCTTCTTCATAGCGGCGACGCTGGAGGAACCAGACATGGCGAATTCGAGGGCAGGGCCGACTCGTCGGTCAGAGGGTCGGCAGGTCGCGGGTCGGCCGGGCCAGACGACTGGGCAGCGCGCAGCGGGGGCGGGGCTCCGAACTTTGTCTCCAAGTTTCCGGTTCTGAGCTGGGTGACACAACCTTCGGTGCGCATGCGCGCCGCGCTTCGCCTCTGGTTCTAACTCCTCGCCCTGCGGGAGCTCGAGCTTGAGGGAGCCCGAGAAGAAGGGGCGGAGCGGTCCCTGGGCGTGGTGTGGAGGCTCCTAGAGAGTCTGGCCGGATGCCGCACTCCTTGTTCCCACTCCTGGTAGGCTGACTTGGGAGAGGTAAGGAAGGAGCTGTGGTTAGCCGCCTAGACCAGAGGGGACATTGAAGAGGACCGGTGAGGGAAGTCAGACATTTGAAAGTCTCTAAAGCTCTAGTGACTGAGGAACCGGGAGGCCCCAGTTGTCCTCAGGGAGTTTGCGGCAGGAGTTGAGGGAGAGAAGGGGATAGCCCAGCGGAGGCGCAGGAGCCAGACTGCCCCGCGCGAGTCGCCCGCCCACCCGCGTAAGTCGTGTCCCGAGGTGACCCTTTGTCCAACGGCGTCCTCCGCCCGCTTCCCACCCGCGGACTCGGAGACTGAAAGGGGCGCGGAGCCCCTGTGACCCGCCCACGGGACCGGGCGGGCGGGGAAATAGGCGTTGGAGAAAAGAAGATCTCGGAATTTTTTGATTTTTGTCGCCTCTTAAACTCTCAAATCGGTTTTCTAGAAAAGGCTGTGAAGGAGCCAGGGTGCTGGCCGAAGATTACAGCTATCTCTGCTAAACCATCCCGTTGGAAGAATTCTTACTGTACTTTTTAAAATAAAACGTTTTTGTGCTTCGGGAAAGTTTGCTCTTTTTTATGTTTAAGTTTTAATTACTTAATGCTTGAAATTGAACCCCCAAGGAGTTTTTAGGAGAGATGGAGGATTTAACAAAATAGGCCCGGCCAATGCATCTGTCATCGTGGAAACGTGTATTGTGTCATGACGCTTAAAACAGTTGTTTTCTATTTCTGTTAAAGTAAACCATCTTCGAAAACACTGATGTTTTCTGTAAACATGAATAATTTCAACATGAATGCATTTCAATTTTTTTGTATAGTGGGAATATCATGTATAATTTTCTCTGGGTCAACAAAACCGGATTTATTTACTAAATAGAATATCCGTCCTCAAAAATGTATAGCGTAAGTTTAGCATTTTATTTAATTCTTAGATGTAATAACTGGGGCTAGGAACCAGTTTTTGAATTCTGATTTTGCTACTTACTGTGGGATCCTTGAGCAAGCCGTTTAAGCTTCACTGAGCCTCTGTTTCCTCATTTTGAAATGAAATAAAAAAAGTTTTCTGGAGTTGCTTCTAAGAATGAAATGAAATTACATAGGTAAAGAATATGAAAAATAAATATTATTTTTCCCTACTAGTATTTTAAATTACTTAATAGATGTGTAAGATAAAACACAAAACTTTCCTCAAAGAAAGTTCTATTTTTCAATAATACACTATACTTCAAAACTTAGTTAAGAAATGTGCTGGAAAGGTTTTCAAGTAATATGTGGCCCACTCCCTTCTGTGAGAGTGAGAAAGAGTGCTGAGAAATAAGCAAAACCTATGTTGTATTTTAGGTTAAGTCTCAGAAAATGTTTCTTTTTTTTTTTTTTTACTTCATTGGAAAAGCAGAGTGGATTGCTGTCGCAGAACACCAGGTAGTCTATTTGTTTTTGTTTTTGTTTTTTATTTTTTAGTTGTAGATGGAACAATACATTTATTTATTTGTTTGTTTATTTTTACAGGCAAGCTAGGCAAGGGCTCTACCACTGAGCCACAACCCCAGCCCATCTATTAGGATTTGATTTGGAATAGGAAAGAAGAAGAAAAAAAAGTCCATTTCAAGTTCATTGCATTTGAAGTGATTAGCATTAAATATAGTTCATGAACTACAAATCAAAGAATTGTTCTTTGACCTTCCAAAATGATCTAAAATATTTCAAGGGTCTTTACCATCCATCAGACATAGGAGTTTACATATTAGATTGTTTGGAACAGACTGTGTTGTGAAGCAATTTGACACCGAGAGATTCCTTACAACACCATACAGCAAGAAATGTTCTGTTTTGTCAGGAGAGCATTGTAAGTTTAAATTTACCTGGGATCTTCACCTTATTTAATTAGTACCCTAAGTTCTTTAGTTCACTAGCTCCAAGTTCAGTATTTGAATAAATAAAATGCTTTTAAGGTTCATGCACCTTACTTTGTAGTTTAAAAGCCAGATAAGGGTAGATTTCACAATTCTGACTCCTTTCTCAAAGAATGAGCTTATATTAGTCTGTTTTCATGGTGGCTAAGGAAATTGAGTTTGGGAAAGAATGAATGACTTGCTTATGGCCATACAGCTGGTTTATGGCAAAGAAAAGAACTTGGGTCTCCTGATGTTTACACTGTATATATAAGTAATGCATTTCTTTTTATGGAGTTGCTCATATATTGGAATAATAATTATTTTTGATATTGAAGTATAAGGAAATTTAGTTATAAGAAACAGCAAAAAGGCTTAAGATACCTAGTAATAGTGTGGTCATAAGACTCCATTGTATTTTTGGCTCAGCTTGTATGGATAGTAAAGCCCATTTTCAGTAAATGAAGTACAATTAAATACCCTTTATTTTTAAAATTTATTTTTTATTTTTTTACCTTACTATATTACCTTCACCTTGTGCTTTTAAGCATCCTGCAAAGGCCTGTGTGCTAATGGCTTGGTAGCGGTCTGTGGCATTATTCTTAAAGTGGAACACTGGGGAGGTGAACCTAATGGAAGGAAGTTAGATAATTGGGGATATGTCCTTGAAAGGGATATTGGGACTCTTGGGACTCTACCCCTTCCTCTCTGACTTCCCAGCCACCATGAGATAAATACTTACATTATGTGATCCTGCCTTGAGATACTGTGCCAGAGGCCCAAGTGACATGGCTAAGTGATCATGGGCTGAAACTATGAGCCAAAATAAAATTTCTTTTTAATTAGTTGATAATCTCAAGTATTTTGTGATAGTATTAGCTGACAGTTAAGTAGTTATAATTCTAATTTTAAAAATGATAGACTTATTTTATCTCTGTTGATCCTTTTGAAAGACTTCCCAAAAGGTACATGGAGAAGTGAAAGAGCAGTTTTTCATCAATGGACTTATATAAGATTCAAAAACACTGTACTCCTTCATAAACAGAGGGAAATTTATTCTTTCTATTTCTCATAAATCCATGCTTATGCTTCTTTTGTGCGCTAACACTGTGTTAACTATGACCTTCAGGAAGAATAAGACAAGACTTTTTTTTCTGTATTCTGCTTTATATTTGAAGCTGAATTATTTTCAGTCTTAAACTTTTTTCTATTTTTAGAGTATAAACTTGGAGATACTCTGTAGCTAGGTATTCAAAAGAGAAGCATAATCAAGTTTTACGATGGGCAAGAAGATGCTCTATTCTTTTAAAAACTTAAGTTGTTTTTTAAGTTGGGTAAACAAATTTGCTGAAAATGTCCTGTTGCTATTTTATGATTATGAAAATTAAACTTGCTCAAAAGGCATTGAAGAGCTATGTGGAGGAAACATTCCATAATTCCTTTTCAAACATTCTAATTCTAATATCATTCTGTTAATTTCTATCAAACCCTCTTTCATCTAAAATGCCCTTATAAATCTTGGGCGAAATCCCAAATCAAGAAAAGTGTGTAATTTTGTCTATACTAGGATCTGTATGGAAAATAGACTAATTCCTCAATTGTTCCTACCAGGGCTAAGGAACCTAAATGTATATAGGCTCTAGAGGGCTCTCGGGCATTTTAATCTATTTACCTAAAATCTATTTACCCTTTAAATGAATTAGAACTTAAATAAAGTTAAATTACCATTAGATGTTTACAGGTTAACTACGACCTAGACAATGTAAAACTCTAAGAACATAGATATAATATGAATTTATCCTGAGCAGATAGACCTGACCCTTGATGATTTAAAAATCAAAAATTATGTCAATAAGGACTCCCATCACCTGACCTGAGGTTAACTATATTCTGATTTCTCTTTTTGCGCAGTAGAACTATCCCTCTCACTTTTGGCATTCTTTGAGCAATCAATCAACTAGTCAAAAGAACTTTAGAGTGGCACATATGGTGTCCCACTACATCATGTACAATCAGAGAAATGAAAAGTTGTGCTGCAGTTGTGTACAATGAATCAAAATGCATTCTTCTGTCATTTATACCTGATTAAAATAAATAAATTTTAAAAATAATAACAAAAGGGGTAGGGATGTCACTCAGTATTAGAACACCTGGGTTCAATTCCCATTACTAGAAGACAAAATTTTTTAAAAAAATGGTATCTAGTAGGATTTCAAAGGGTTGTAATCAGTACCAAATCAAAGGAGTTTTAAGTTTTGTTAGATTTACATAACTATTTTAATATAAGCCAATGAAGCCATACTTTGGAATCTTAAAAAAAGCTTCAGATGTGATGTTGGTATGATTAGTACATTCTTAAGGATGGAACCGCTTTGATAATTCCTTTTTAAGATAATTTAGCTACTTTATTTTTCAATTTTTATTATATATTTATGTGTTTTAAATTTTATAATTCATATTTTAAATTGCAATAAATACTCTGAGGACAAAACAGAAAATAATACACAAATGATGCTCAATATATAAAAGACAGGTATTTTCATCTGGACTGATTGTTACATACAGCCATTTGTATTTAATCTTTTCACTCCAAAAGTATATTTCTATGTTATGTAAAATACATTTAATATACAAGATTAGACAAATTTTTAATAATTTGTTCTAGTTATACATGACAATAGAATGCATTTTCACATTCAACCTTAACTTTTGACTCCAAAGAAAATGAATTGTTTAGAATAGTAAAATATGTTTTTGCCAAAAGTTCATTACAACGTAACTTACCAGTTAGTTTCCTTAATCATCCTCAACTTAGGATGGGGTTACATCCTGATAAAAGTTGAAAATAGAATACACTTAACCTACTGAATATTGTGACTGAGCAACACAGTACATTGTCAAGTATCAACTATTTATCTTTATAATCTTGTGACTGGGAACTATAGCTTATTGATCCTGCCTAGCATTGCAAGAGAATATCAAACCATGTATTGCTAGCCCAGGAAAAGATCAAGATTCTAAATTTGAGGTACAGAATTGCTTTTGCATTGTTGTAAGTTGGAGGACCATCCATAGAATATACACTCATTTCATTGCAATTACCAGTCTGTTCATTAGTGATTTTTTTTAATTGGAATAATAAGATTGTATATATTCCAAGTTTTCTTTTGGAGTCTACTTTAAAGGTTTTATATTTTTCTTTTCACTTTTTGAACAAATCAGAGACCAGAAATACATGGAATGCTGTTTTAAATAAGCCAAAAGTGTATTATGAAATTAATTTAATACTGCTTAAATGAAGAGAGAGAAAAAGACAAGAAAAAATCCAGCTGTTCAGACATTGGTGAGTATGTCTCACAATCCAAGTCAGCCTTCCTCATCAGAGGTAAGAAAATAATGTCTATCATTGTTTTTGAAAAGTTGATAAAGCAAAAATGAATTATATAAAGTATTAGAAATTGATTGCACCAGAGTCCCAACTTCATGTATCCTATTAACTGATATTACTATTTCATCTTTAACTCACTTTCTCTAGTATTCTAAGTTGAGACCTACAATGAAGTGATTCTATCACCTTTTTTCCTCCACTATTACCCAACTATGATGCCCTCCTTAGGCTTGAATTTCATACAGTCTTGGTCATTCTTGACTCACACTTTGACTCCTTGCCCCTCTCTTGTTCTATTCTACTCCTTTGCAAAATAACAACCTAGTTGATTCATTTCTCTACCTATTCTGCACCTATTCCTTAGTAACTAAACATGAATGGATAAAAATAGACCAGTATAAGGACCATTCCCACTTTAAATTCATGACCAGTAGAATCTTTTGCTTTTAGGCATTCATACCCTTTGTCACTTATTCATTCACTCTTCTCTTCAACACAAGTGTTTCATACCTTCTCAAATCCCTAATACCTTTTCTCCATTCTCTCTTAAACCAATTCCAATCAATCCTTCACCTTTCACAAAACTTTTCTTGCTAAAGTCACCTCTTCATTACTAAATCTAACCTCTTAAAATTGGATTATCTCAGGATTCAGCTCTTTGTTCTCTCTGCACTCATTACATGGTGGTCTCATCCAATCTAGTAGATTTAAATACCAACTTTATGGTAAGGATTTATACATTTTTATCATCATCCCAGTCCTCTTTCCCAAACTCCAGATTCATGTCTACATATATTCAACTGACTACTTGACATCTCTCTTTGGATGATCAATAGACATTTCAAATATAACGTATCTGATAGGGAATCTTTCCCTTCTCCTGGAAACTTGCACTACCTGTGGCTATTACCATCTCAGGTGATTGCAAATCTATTCTTTCATTATTTGAGCCCAAATGCCTTGGAGTCATACTTGATTCTTCTTGCATACATGACTCCTACTTGAGTCTTTTCTCCCAAACTCTACATATACACAAAATTTGACTACTCACCTCTACTGCTAGCATATTAGTCCGTGTCACCATCCTCTTACACTTTAGTTACTCTAATAGTTTCATAATAAGTTCCTTTTTTTTTTTTGCCCTTTACAATCTATTTTGGCTATTATTGCTTTAACCTGTTATCAAATGTAGAAATACTTTACAGTAATTTGTGTCTCATGGTGTAATGCAATATGAAATATAAGTCACCATTTGTAAAATACTCTTGCCTCGGATGGATAACTTGTGTCATTAGAAGGCTGTACCATTGACTATTTACAGGAGTTAAAGGGGTTGGAGAAATAAATGCCACCTTAAAGACAATGAGGTAAATTCATTCTATAAGATAATTGGCTCTATCACTTTAAAAAACTTAATTACAGGGCTGGGGTTATGGCTGGGGATCTTATATTTGCCTAGCATGTGCAAAGCTCTGGATTCCACCATCATCACCACACACACACACACACACAAAAAAAAAAAAAAAAAAACAAGAAAAACAGAAAAACAATCTCAATATTTTGAAGAATCAATTGAGATTTTTTAAAACATAACAACTAAAAGCAATATGTTATCCTCAACTGAATTCTAGGTTGAAAAAATATTTTGTGGACAATTGGAGAAATTATAGATTTGATATTAGTCTACATTAAGGAATAGTTAATTTTCTTTATGTGAAAATGGTATTGTGACTGTATTAAAGAAGTCCTTGCTTTTAGAAGATGGATACCAAAGTATGAGTATGTCTAATTTACTTTAAATATTTTATTGAGAGAGAAAAAAAGAATTAACAAGAAAAATGTTAACTTTTGAATCTAAATCATATTTATATTATTTGAAAATTCATAATATTTTTACTTATGTATATAAAATATATGCATCAAATTTTTCATAAAAAATTATAAAATATGTCAGGTCTTGCCGTGCTTCTATTAAAACCCTGCACTGGCTTCCTATCTTGTAAGGTAAAGACTTTTAAATGGCTCAGAGGCCCTACTTAATTTCTTCCCCTTACCTCCTTTTTTCTCTGACTTTTATCTCTTACTATTCTTTTCCCACTCTCTCTTCTTCATTTATACTGGTACTCATAATGGTCATCTTAAAGCCTTTGGTTTAGCCCTTCCTGGAACTCTATTTCTTCCCTTGACTAATTCATTCTTTCCCTTAAATCTTTACTCAGTTCCCACCTTTTCCCTGAAATCTACTATAAATATTCTTTGTAAAACTGAAGGCTTCTCTATCCCTTATCCTCTCAATTTTCCTTACCTTGCTCTTATTCTTTTTTCCTAGTAATTACCCCTCTCTTATACAGTATATAACCTATTAGTGCTTTGTATTTATTGATTTTTGTCTATATCCCTCACAGAACCAGGACTAGTCTAAGGCAAATTAAATACTTGCTGTGGGTGCAAAATTTAAGGGGGCATCAAAAATTCAGTAAATCAAGATAAATATTTTAATACAATATTTTTTAAGTTAAATTTATTTCAAAAAATTCGTGGTGAACAAGATAATGATATTTTAAATAGACACAATCTAACAGTACTATGCATAGCAACTAACTTTGAAGTCTAAAATTTAAAAAAAATGTACCCTACACATATATATATGCCTTCTAATTACTTAAGTAGTTAATGATTTTAATAAAAATATTATTGATGAGTTGCTTCCAGAAAGCCAGAACATAAAATTATGATAAATTATGGTTTTGGTATAAATAAAATATTTAACCTTAAAATATATAAACTTTTAAAACTTGCAGTATTTTTCAACTACTTTCTTGTTATAGAAATATAGCACTCTTATAATATTGCTATAATGTTATTATAATATAATGTTATAATTACTATAATATTGCTATAATGTTATTGTTATAGTAAACTCATTGAATTATTATTTAGAAATATATATATATAAATGTTTAGTTCAAGAAATATTGCTCTCCTGTGACATATTAAAACATTTATATAAAAATAAAATCATATTTACTTCAAACTTGTTAAGGTTTTACAGATACTTAATAGTATAGCTAGGGAATAATCTTTCACATACTCTGCAGTTCAAAATGCAAAATGTGGAAAATTTTATTATCTGATCTATGCAAACATTTGAATTGTTGGTTTATTTTTCATATATCAAAAATATAGAAGTAATTTACTTGGTAAAACTTGAGCAAAACCTTTAGTTCAGGGACCATTTTTATGTCTAATAAAAATTACTAATATTAATAATAATAGGTCATATTAAAACTTTTAAAGTTTTCTCAGGTATTTAATATTGCAGTTAAAGTAAAATGATTTCAAGGCTTTCACGTTTAATATGCAGTGAGTATCAACCTTCCTTAGACTAAAAAAATTGAGACTGCAGTAATTGTTTCTGTTCTAGCCATCTAACTATTCTAAACAGAAGATTTCTAATTAGAGCCATAACAAAACATTAACAGAGAATTAGTTTTATACAAGCACAGACAAGCTTACAGTCATCCCCTACATCAAGAATAGATTCTTCCTGGAACTCTGGGAAGCAAATATGTTCCTGACAAACCACAGTATGAACCCTTTTGTGGGTGCTAAAAGCAAAGGATTGTACAAGGTCACTCTAGTGGAACTGATAAGAGAGAAGTCAGGGAGAGATAAAGATTGGTGATCAGAAAATTGATCTTTACCATATAGTATTCTTACTACAGGCCACAGACAAAAACACCATTCATCAAGGATATTGAGGTACTCTAGAAGCCAAGCCACATCTATGACAGTGTTTCCAAAGGAAATGTATTCCAGCTGGGGTTGTGGCTCAGTGGTAGAGTGCTTGCCTGGCATGTATGAAGCTCTAGATTTGATCCTCAGCATTACATAAAAATAAATAGATAAAATAAAGGTATCATGTCCATCTACAGCTTAAAAAAAACATATTAAAAACCCATAATGATCCAATTATACAATATTATCTGTCTGCTTTGAGCTCCTAGCACTGTGACTGGTATCTACTATGGGACTTAAATATAAATTTTAAAAATGGAAAGAAATGTACTCCAAACGAATATTTTGGGGTTCTTCATTTTGTTTGTGGGTTGATTTTGTTTTGTTTTATTTTGTTTTGTCTGTATGTTCAGAGGGATACATTATTCCATGTTTATTTCAGTTGTGTTTATTAAACTTAAAATTCTATAGGAGATCAATTGGGTTTTTTTCAATTTTAAAAACATTTTAATTGATATTCTTCTCATTCAGTTGGTGGAACTTCATGTTTTTTATGTCCCTGAAGGATCGTGGAACTATAAGTTAAATACTATTTCAATAGAAGTTATTAACAAATTTATTTCTGCTGGATTTATAAGGCAAGTATTTTGTGCATGTAACAAAATACCTAAAAAATATTTTTTTCTGCAGAGAAAAATATTTCCTAGAAATTTAAAAGTTGTAAATGAAAAATATTTTGCCCATGTCATGGACCCATTCCTAATTTAATGAATATTGACAAACAGTACTATGTAGTAGTTAAATCAAACATAGCTGTAGGAATAGATGTCATTTGACCATAATATGCCACCCAGAGAATAGTGTATAATGTGTAAGAATTAAGGAACAAATTATCTAAAATTAAAAATCTGATGAAGAGCTGTGAATAATGGTTACAGCAATATATCCACTGTTATTTTCTTAGAATTCTTTAAAAATATATGCAAAAGACTTGCATATGCAAGACTCTGAGTTCAATCTCTAGCATGGCAAAAAATAAAAATATAAACAAAGAACATAATTAAATATATATATATATATATATATATATATATATATATATTTATATGTGTATATGTGTATTTTCAAATTCACAGAAACATGACACATGATCTGACCTCCTATTGTTAACATCACCTAGTTGAGTGCCTTTCTTCTTTATTTCCTCATCACTTTTCCAATCCTATTAGTTTCCTTTCTGTTCTAGAGCACATCAGAAATGGCCCTACCTCAAGACTCTTGTACTTTCTGTTCCTTTTGTCTAGAATACATTTTCTGCCCTTACCCTCTTATCTCATTCAGTTCTGTACCCAAATATGACTTGTTTGTGTATATATTCTTTGATCATTGTATTTTAAATAACAGCTACAGTCTCTTTTCCTTTTCCCTGCTTTACTTACTTAGCAGTATCTTATCAATTATGTTTTTTACTATGTATTTTGCTATTTTTCTTTCCCATCACTAGATTATAAAAGCTATGGGGGCATATATTTTTGTATGTTGATTGCTGTTCTCCCATCCTTTAGAACAATGTGACACATAATAGGTGCACAATAAATATTTGTTGATCAAACAATTGTTCACTGAATGAATTCTCTAATATTTCCCATAATATATCTTTAAAAAAACAAGTACTTAGAACAATGACATAATATTGTCTTTAAATTTTAGACATTGAGAAAAGGATCCCTAATGGGCAAATGTAGTAGAATCTGACAGCATTTGATCATTAAACACATTTTAAGCACTAGCTACTCCTGTTAAACTTCCAAAATAAATATCTATGCCTAAGTCATTCTTTAATATATATGTAAAAGCATATAAATTACACGGAAATTTTGTTTTAGTCATAAAATTTGGAAGTGGAATAGCAAAATAGACAATCATTTTCCTTTTCAGTATTAAAATGACTTTTATAAATAGTATTCGTTTGCATAATTTTAGAAGATAGACTTAATCATTTACTTTGAAAAATATTTGCTTAAGATTATAAAGTGCTAAGCAATGTAGAAATGTAATATAGTAAGCTCTGTCTGATAATTAAATCAACATTTATGTTTGAGATAACTAACATTATTAAACCATTAATATATCCAAACTCTTTATTTCTTTCTACCTCATATAAGGCAATTTTATTACATTTCAGAGTATCTCCTCAACTTACTTTACAAGCCCTGAGGTTGCGACTTGGTGAGTTCCTTGGTGAAGATGCTGTTGCAGAAAAATTTTTATTCCTGAAATGCATTGGAAATAATTTAGCTGTGGTAAGAGTTCTTATTTTTTTTCCTTTTGATTAAAGAAAAGCATTCATTATCAAATTATGTATCTTAAATGCTTGTGAACTCAGCTTCTTAACATACTGTGAGACATGTAATCTTAATCATAAAATATCACTAAGCACATAGATCATGAAAAATGGATCTCCTTGGCATGTTACCAGGCACTAAAATGGTGGGATGTGTCAATTTCCTTCAAAAGGAAGACAAAGTTAACTAATAATATCAATAATATATATTGTTTTTAAACAATGTTTTTAAAAAGTACTTGTGTTGTAGCGAAAACAGGGTTCTTTTTTATTTGGGTCACAACTAGCCTTATTGTTTTTAAAATGATAATGGCCCCAATATATTTTTTGGTGTTAGCTATTACCTACTGAACACTTCTATTGGTAGTTTCTGTAATCTGATGGCAGGATATTCTAAGGGAGGACATTTTTAACTAAAATTTCCAATCTCTCAAGCCATCAGACATCAAAGTTTCTGATTTATCCTGTCTATATATAAGGTTTATTTCTTTAATCAAGATTGTCAACATTTAAACTTCAACATGTAGTATATTCATATGCCACTCAAGTTAACATATTATGTCATTGCCAAGTGTTCATTGATGTGATTATTTAATATTTAACTCTTATCATTAGATTTTAGTCCTTTGTGAGCAGGGACTTTATTTACCATTGTATTTATAACCAGTGCCTAACAAAGGTTTAAATATTTATCAAACAAATTAAGTAATGAATGATAATGGATAATAAGTCTCTCCCACCCAAAGTACTATTATAATTTGCAATGTAGGATTCTTAGATCAGTAGCTAAATTTAAAGATGTTTTTGTTATTGGGGTTCTATTTAGTATGCCATAATATTAATTTACTGATTGTTAAATTAGTTCTCCTCAGAGAAGAAAGGGAACATAATTTTTTGTTCTTTTTTTATTATATGTAAATTTATAAAATATCAACCACAGAATCCCAAGCTGGGAACATAAGTGTAACTTAGATCAACTTCTAAAATCCTTCTTATATTTTATTTTAAACAAATATTTATTGATATTTTATTTTCTAGAAAGCCAAAAAATGGATATGAATTCTTCCCTTAAAGTATGTTCAGTGTAATGGTAAAATAAGTGGTGAAGATAAAATATTATCTATAGTCACAAAAAAGAAAAAAAAGATTTTTTTTCAGCAGAGGAAAGCAGAGTAGAGAAATTTGAGGAAGAAGCAATATGTAAATTTGGATTTTGAAAGAAATATTTGGTCTTGTAAAAATAAAGTGTGTGAATGGCTTTCTGAGCAGAGAAAATAAGATGAGCATGGAAGTAAGAAAGCAGGCAACTAAGAAAGAATTGATTCATTTCATTAAACATTAGCTGTGGGAAAGGGAACAGTGCCTGGCACAAAGTGACTCCATGTAAGATAGCCATAATTATTATTATTAAGTGACATAGAATTCCTATTATGTTGAGTGTGCAGTGAGAAAAGTTATGAAGTACTTTGTTGAATATCTTGAATGCCAGACTAAAAGTTTGAATTTTTTTTTCTGAAATCTTGAGTTTTTCAGCAATAGAGTTACATGAGGGCTGGGGTTGTGGCTCACATAAAAATAAATAAATAAAAATAAAGACATTGTGTCTACCTACAACTAACAGAATGCTTTAAAAAAAATAGAGTGACATGATGAGAGCTTTCAGTACAATAATTGGGTCTCACTGAGAAGTAACAAGAGACTAGAGACAGGGATTCCAGCAAGAAGGCTTTTACAGTGGTTCAGGCAAGAGATAAGGAAAAACTCAGATTTCATCTACTACCATCTTCTCCTTGGTTCTCTATACTTCAGTTCCAAACATCTTACTTTGGTCCTTACATATAACAGACATCTCTGATTTACGGTCCTTGCACTTACCTTGCAATCACTTTCCCTGAGTTTTGGATAGCTGGCTGCTCTTTGTAATTCATTCGAGCTCAAATACATAATCTTTTCAAAAGGACTTTTCTTGACCATCCAGTTTTTAGAACTTTTTTCTCCAACTTACTCTTTATTATATCACTCTGTTTTATTCTCATGAGTCATATATCACAATCCTAAATTGTTTTTTTAATTTAATATCTGCTTTCACAAGTAGAATGTGAGGTCTACGAGAGCAGTGACTTTGTCTTATTTATCATTGTATCCTCGCCAAGTAGAACACCTGACATATGGTATATCTTCAACATCTGCTAAAATAAATAAATTGAAAGCAAACTATAGGGGTAGACTATATGGGAAATAAGTCTACAAAATTGGACTCTGGAGTGATTACCAGGTTTTGAATCCTAACTTGGAAAATTCTATTTATAAAATCTTGGGCAAGTTACTTAATTTCTTTTTGCTTCAGTCTCCTCTGTTAACTGTAAGTAATGTTAGTGCCTATCACATGAAATTGTTGAGGATTAACTGAGCTAACATATGTAATAACATAAAACAGTGCCCGGCACAAAGTGACTCCATGTAAGATAGCCATAATTATAATTATTAAGTGACATAGAATGGGTGTGCAATGAGTATAATGAGGATTAAATTCTACATTTTTCTAAAATATAGCCATAGCTATTAGTTTTTAAATTTGACTTATATCATACAAATATATGCTTTTTACAAAAAAAGTGGAGGTAAAAATAATTGGAAAATTTCACAAAAGCTCTTATTTTTTTCTCATCTATTTGTTTCTAGGTGAAAGAAAAGCAAGAACCAGAACTGAAACTCATATCATTTGCTCCTCCATACGTATGTAATGTGACATTTTAAATTGATGCTAATTTTAATTGTTTTTTTAATTATAAACTAATTTTTAAATTTTCCTATATGTTTTAGGCTCTTCAACCAGAATTATATTTGCTTCCTGTAATGGACCATTTAGGAAATGTTTATTCAGCATCATCATCAGTTACTTTAGATGGGCAGCAGACTAATAGTGATATTGCTGAAATTGATGGAACAATCCATAGACCAGTTAGTGCAACTTTGTCAAAGGAAGAACTTGGAAAGGATCCCAATTTCTTAGAAAACACTTTGAAAGACCTTATTAACACGAATCAGGAAGAAGGTGATTTCAATTAAAATGGGAACAACAAAGAGGTTATTTTAAGTCCATGTGTTTTCCAAAGTGGTTGTACTCAGTATCTTAGTACATAATTCAGGACCACAGTGTAAATTAAAATACCACTCAAAGCTTTATGGAGAGTAATTGCCCACTTCAGTAGCCACTTGACCTTATACTCTGTTCAGGAATACTGGGATTCTACTTCGGATATTTGTTTCCCAGATATCATTTTCTTGAGCCTTTAAATGACATGTCCAGACAAAGAAGAAGGTAAAGATTCTCACTGAGCATCTCACTGGCATCAATAAACAGTAAATATTAGTGTGCCTAAGATTAAAGAAAGTGCCAAGTTTGAAACATCATCAAGTCCTAAACTTCCTATTGAACCATAATCTTGCCATTATATCAGATATTTTATATCTCCTTGTTTCTGTGCTCCACATTCTGAATAATTTCTTTAGATTTGTTTACTGTTTTTTAGGTATTTAAAAATATTTCTATATTATCTTCTGGCTTGCATAATTTCAGATGATAGGTCTACTGTATTTTTATTTTCATTTCTCTTTTTTCCTCTGCTGTCTTTAAGATTTTACTTTGATTTTCAGCAGTATGATTATATATATATATATATATATATATAACTTTAATTTTATTCAATCTTGATTGGCGTTCTCTGCATTATGCTTTTACTGTTACAAAGATCAACAGATACATGTCCTATACTCTTACCAAAATGTACCGTGATATCTATTGAATTTTGTATCATTGTTTATTTTGATGGGGCATGGAGAGGGAATGGTAGGTATATCCATTTTTTATTTATTTAGCATTGAATAAATCTTTTATAAAAAATTCTTTTCATTAGACTAAATAATTTGGCAATGCCTGCTAGGAAATAAATTATAGTGGCCAAACTGAATTAAACGAATGTGGGCTTCAGGTTGCAAAATAGTTTGACAACCTTTGCAAAATGACTTCTCAAATATTAATTTGACATTTTTTTCTAAATTAAAAAATTTATTTCTGGGGGGTGGAAATCTACATGAATGCTGCTAAGTTCATGGATCTTATGTTAATGTATAGATCATGTGGTTCATTAATGTTAATGATTAAAAACAACTCAAATGGAAAATGCTACTGAAATGAAGGGAGATTCTATAAATGAAAATTTATGTGATATTTTATGCTCTTTATTTATACAAACATTTTCCAGGAAAAGAGTTCCTCAGAAGACTATTTCAAAAGATGCTTTTGGTAAAAGGTGTCCTTTTTTTTTTTTTAAGAAATACATGACAGTAGAGTGTATTTTGACCTATTATACATACGTGGAGTACAACCTATTCCAGTTAGGGTCCCATTCTTGTGGGTATACATAATGTGGAGTTATACTGGTCATGTATTCACATATGAACAAAGGAAACTTATAACCAGTTCATTCTACTGTCATTCCTATTCCCATCCCCTCTTCCTTCCCTTCATTCCCCTTTGTCTAATACAGTGAACTCATATTCTTCCCCTCCCTACCTTCCCTTGTTGTGGGTTAGCATCCACATACTAGAGAGAACATTTGGCCTTTGGTTTTTTTGGGATTGGCTTATTTCACTTAGCATGATGGTCTCCAGTTCCATCCAATTACAGGCAAATGCCACAATTTCATTCTTCTTTATGGCTGAATAATATCCCATTGTATATGTATATCACATTTTCTTTATACATTCATCTGTTGAAGGGCAATAAGGCTGGTTCCATAGCTTTGCTATTGTGAATTGAGGTGCTGTAAACATTGATGTGGCTGCATCCCTGTAGTATGCTTATTTTAAGTACTTTCAGTAGAGGCTGAAGAGTGGGATAAATGGTGGTTCCATTCCAAGTTTTCTGAGGAATCTCCATGTTGCTTTCCACAGTGGTTGCACCAATTTGCAGTCCTACCAGCAATTTATGAGTGAATCTTTTCCCTCACATCCTTACCATCATTTATTGTTACTTGTGTTCGTGATAATTGCCATTCTGACTGGAGTGAGATGGAATCTCAGTGTAGTTTTAATTTGCATTTCTCTAGAAATACAAATGGTTAAAAGTATCTTGAAGACAAAGTTTGGGTAGACCCCACTTTACTTCCTCTCTCAGAGTCATGTTGCTCATAGAAAACTTCTGCAATACAGTTGCTTGTGTGTGTGTATAAGGGAGTTGTGTGCCTGTTTAGTGTTGTTTAATTCATTGTCTCCCAAACTGAGCTGACCAAAGAATTTTCTTTTCACATAAATTAATGTTTCATGAAAAACACTTTGTAAATTGTTACCTGTTATCTATATAGTAAAGTTCATGAGGAATATGAAATATAGGACATGATTGTAATGTATACATAGAAAATTTTATTTTAGTATTTTCTGAATATTCTGAACTTTTTTTTATCATGCATACACATCAACATCAGCTGAGGAAATAGCCACTCCAAAAGAAAGCCAGATTGTAAAATATCACATTGGAAATTCTGAGTTACCAGGATCATTGGAAAATTCAAATGATTATTTTACCAACAAAAAAAGGTGATTAGTACAGATGCTGATTTCACATGTTATAATCTAAACTATAAGAAAAAGAATGTGATGTCCAGACTACTTATATAAAAACTTTTAATTAGAACAAAGATATGATTGAAATTATTGATCTTTAATTATAATTACCTTCTCATATTTATTGTTATATATGAATGTTCCTCTCCAATATAATGAGGGATGATTTATTAAGTTTATTGATATTGTGGTCTTTTTGTCATCAGGGACAATTGATGACAGAAAAATTTCTCTTTGTTTTGTCTTTGTTTAGGACTAATTCTTCTACCTCTCTTAAATTCTTGGCTACAGATAAACTAATCAGTATATTTGAGTTTTACATTGCCATCATTTCATTAAAAATTAGAGTACTTAGATAACAGTTTTGCTTATAGTCTTTTGAAATTTTGATGAGGGTTTTATTCACAAACTATAAAAATATATTTCTAAAATTTCCAGTTACTTTACTTTGTCAGAGACATTGGACTATGATTTGAATTTAGCTATGGGATAATGAAATATGATTTTATTAACTCATACTAAATGTAGTTTATGTTAATCATTAAGAGTTTGAGAGAAAATATGATAATAACTCCAGGCTTTGTTGTTTTAAAGTGATGAAATTTAAATATGTTTCCCCGGCTGGTACTAAACTCCTGGGCTTAAGTGATCCTCCTACCTCAACCTCCCAAGTAACTGGGACTACAGAAGCACACCTCCCACCCAGTTTTCAGGCTGATTTAAAATTTTTAATGTTACATTGGATTTATATACACCAAATAAAATATGTAAAATATTCATATGTGAATATGAAAGTTAATATTCATGGAATTATATTTTAATATGACTTTCAAATCTGTCCTTTTAAGTCAGTTTCTTTGGAAAAATGAAGAAGATACAACCAACAGTAGAAGACAGGACAGTCAGGTATGATTTTAAAATTTTTATTTAACTTCAGCATTATATCATAATATTTATACATATAGAAATTGAAATTATACTGAAGATTAAGATAAAATTTAAGTTTTCTGATTGTAATACCAGAAAACGTCTATTTTTCTAATATCAATACTGTCACTGGTAGTCCAGCTTTTGCTTTTGCTTTTATGCCTGAATGAGAGAGAGGATAAATTAGGTTATCCACCAAAGACTTTTTGGATTTTCATCTCAAATGTTATTACTACTTTTAAGGTACACTGACCTTTACCTAACTGGCAACTTCAGTAGCTAAATTGTAATTTAATATGTTGATACCTGTCTTTGATTAATTCATCTCTTTAGAACAGATTTCTCTAGTGTGTTTCTAGGAAGTACAGTAGTAGGTGGTTAGTACCAGTTACTAGCTCTATGGCCTTGGATATGTTATCTAATTTGAATAGTAATAGTTTAAAGGAGTTAGCAAACGCTGTTCCACATCACCAGCTCATTCTCTAGAAATGGAGAAACGGGAGAATTTTGAAAATATTTGTAGGATTAATTTAGCTGCTAAAAATACTAGTTTTAATAATAGCTAACAATGAGTCCCAACTAACTGTCACTAAGTGTTTTACACATTTTGATTCATTTAATCCCCCAAAACACCCTATGAGCCAGGTCATGATTATCATCTCCATTTTACAGATGAGGAAACTGAGGCACAGAGAGATTCAGTGGCTTGCTCAAATCATAAGTACAGCTAGTAAATATTGGAAAGGGGATTAGAGGTGTCAGGGTCTAGGCTGGCTCTAGAATTCATCTTTTTATAACAACTCTAAATAATAATAACAATCTAGCAACAACTAATTATATAACATTTATTGAGCTAACCACTGTTCTAAATGCTTTTCATATGTTAGTCCATTTAATTGAACAACTTTTTAAGAAGGTTCTATTATCTACCTTTCAGATCAACAAACTAAATTACAGATTACATTAACTTTTCCATGATTACAAGTCTTTCCTACTCATTCAGCAAAACTCCAACACTAGTTTACAAAACAACAAACCTCAAATGAGTCTTTAATTCTGCCATACACTATGTATTCCTGATCCATTGCTACTCTTCTAAACAACTCTGCCATATCTTCTCTCTTTTTAAAATTTCTTTAAATTAATTAATTTTACAGTAGAATGTATTTTGACACATAGTACATAAATGGAGCACAACTTCTCATTCCTCTGGCTGTGCATGGTTCAGAGTCAGTGTAATCATATATCGTACTTCTCTTCAAACCATCAATACCTCCTTTCTTTTGCAACCTGTGATAATTTGTCCTTGCAAAAATAGGAGAAATTTGAAGAAAACCACGACATCTCAACGTACAGAATGAAGTTGGAGTTGAAGTTCAGTTTTTCCTCAGATATCCAGTTCTTCTCCGTGATTTGTTGATATTTTATTTTTCCTTTTGTGTTACTCAAAAAGCAACTGACCATAAATAAGGTCTTAGACAATTTCTGGTCTCCTTTTCTGTTCAGTGATCTTTTTTTCTGTCTTACACCAGTACTATACCACCTTCATTACAGAGGCTTTATAGTAGTTTTTTGTTATCATATAGCATAAGACTTCCATATGAATTGGCTTCTTGCTTTCTGCCTAGTTCTAGTGATGGCCTCAAAGATAGTAATTTCAGTAATGGAAAAGTCATTCCAGGGGAGCAAACCTAGAACCTGCTCCTTCAGTCTTTCTGTTGCACTTAATTTCCTTTATAAAATTCCTTCCTGTTTAAACTTGTGCTGAACTGATTCAGTATTTGATATAGAAAGTGAAATATGAGAAACAAACTCTTGAAAATGAGAATCTCAAACTTGTTATTACAAAATAATTACAAAATTTTGCTAATTTGTGCTAGTAGAAATTTAGAATATTACTGGGAATAGATTAAGACCAGAAATGAAGGACTATAACTATTGATTGATGCAATTTTAAAAGTATGGGTATACTCATCAGAGATTCTGAATTTAATGTGCTAGCTTAAGCAGTTGTGAGTGGTAAAAAATATTTTGCTAAATTGACAAATAGGTTGACAAGAACCTGGACTATATGATAACTATGCTAAATAAATTTAGAATGCTAGAAATTTCTTGGAAAAATGAGAGCAAGAAATGCAAAGATGTCAGGAGATAGCAACTGGTTTTCATAGACCCCTTCATCCATTTAATCAAATGGTAAGGAATATATTGGAATGGCAAGCCCAGCATTCTTAACAAAACCCTATAATGACAGTTTTATGTGGACTGAAATGAAGACAGGAATGTATTCCTTGGTTTCCTTAGAGATCACAGGATTTGAGTGGCTAATTTATACCATTTTACTTTACAATAAAAAGCTGTACCAGAATGATTATAAGGATGTTTGAGAAATCCTTAACAATAAAGATTCAAGGTATCCTTAATACTAATTGATCATGGTGTTCCTCAGAATTCAATGGGCAAGTGCATCAGTAAGTTCTTTATCTGTGTAATCAAAACTTATTTTGTTTTAGCAAATGGAGATCTACCTGGAATAACCATATCCCCTTATTGATTTACCATTCTTCAACTAGTTTACATACCTAAAGCCCCTTGAGTGAAAGAGAGGCCAGGTATTCTTCAGGAGAGACCCTATTGCCCAGCCACAAGTAAAAACGGACTATAAATTTTCTCTTTTATCTGACTTAAAGAGATTAGAGGCTGTTACTAGGGAACTTCATTGGAGAAAATTAAGTACCCATACTTTTTGGATTAGTGAACAATGGTTTTAACTTGACTAAAATCTCTGGGACCTGAATACCTTTGTGTTCCACCAATACCATGGATGCATAAAGGGGTCAGATAATAAAGAAAGTTTTGGCTAAATCTACCTTGTGGTGTGCCAAAAGGGTTTGCAAATCCTTATAGTTGTTTCCTGGATTCCGAATGCATACTTTAAAAGGAGTTAGCAACTGACAGAATCCCCATAATGCCTCTCTGACATTTGTAGCATGGGCAATGAGGAACTTAAGACAAGACAGGGCCAAGTAAAATGTGATGGAACTGCCTTTTCCTTACCAAAATAACGAAGCACTATCAGACTTCCAGAGGAACTGTAGAGTCTTGTGCCATAATCAAAACCTGAAAATAACCAAGTGTGGTGGCACACACTTATAATCCCAGTGGTTTGGGAGGCTAGGTAGGAGGATTTCAAGTTCAAAGCCAACCTCAGCAAAAGTAAGGTGCTAAGCAACTCAGTGAGACCCTGTCTCTAAATAAAATGCAAAATAGGGCTGGGGATGTGGCTCAGTGGTTGACTGCCCTTGAGTTCAATCCCCATTACCCACCACCCCCCCCAAAAAAGAAAACTTGAAAATAGTAGAGAGGGTAATTCTTACCATAGCCACGTTCAGCTCACCTCATTACTATGTGTAGATGATTGATGGGTCTTAGCCATCAGAAGGTGAAGTTGTAGCTACTATTCTTTACTATAACAAATTATCACAGCCTCATGTTCCTGTTATGCCACTCTGGATCTGGAAGATGCTTTCTTCTCCATCCCAATTAAGAGAGAAAACCAAAAGTAATTTTCTTTCAACAAGTAAAAACAGAAGTAGACCTTCATTATTTTGCCTAAGACTGTCTGTTAATCTAGTTCATAAGGGATTGATCCCCTTTGGACCTGGTAAGCAGGAAGTAACAAAAAATACTCATTATATATCTTAGGTGAGACAATGTTTATTAGAGGGTGGATATAAGCCTCTAGAAAATTCAGGAGCTTGAAGGACAAAAGATAGCAGATTAGAGGAAGGTTACATTTCCAGTTGCTCTGTGCTCAGGATTCAAGCAATGGGAGAATTCTCAGAGAGGTGAGTGAGAGAGGGATTTCACCAAAATTCAATACCAAACAGTCAAGAGTTTCTTAGAGACTGATAAATTCAGGTGCATTGAACAACAACAACAAAAAAAGAATGACTACACTGGAGCCAAGCCAGTTGCTGCAGTGGCAATGGCAGCAGCAGTGGTAGTGGTGCTAGTTTACCACAGAATGAAAAGATAACACACTGAGAAAAACGTAACAGAAAAAATTGGCACAGAAACCTATAGATCAGAAAAGCAGCCTAAATTTAGCTGATCCAGACTGCACAACAAACTGGTGTTTGAAAAGTGCTCTATATTTCTCAACTAGCCAGTGGAGAGCTAAGGCAGGAACCATTTGAGGAGGTCATGCTGCAGCTTGTTGTTGTCAAGCCTGTAAGATCATAGCCAGCATTGATTGAGAAATCGTCACAGACATCACAGAAATCCAGAGGATCATTGTGGACTATTTTGAAAACTTATACTCCAGTAAATTGGAAAACCTAGATGAAATGGATACATTTTTAAACACATATGACCTACCAAAATTGAATCAAGAGGAAATAGAAAAAAATCTAAACATATCAATAACTAGCAATGAAATAGAAGCACTATCTTCCAAAAAAGAAAAACCCAGGACTAGATGGATTCTCAGCTGAAGTCTACCAGAACTTTAAAGAAGACAATGCTTCTCAAATTATTCCTTGAAATAGAAAGGGATGAAACACTTTCAAATTCATTCTATGAAGCAAGTATCACACTGATAACAAAATCAGGTAAGGACACATAAAGGAAAGAAAACTATTCCCTTATGACCTTAAATGAATTAAGCACTTTATTAAGAAGATTGTATATCATAACTAAGTTAATTCTATCCTAGGAATACAAAGATGGTTGAACATACATACACAAATCAGTAAGTGTAATTCATAACATAAATAGAATTAAGGACAAAAATCATTTAGTTATCTCATAGATGCAGAGAAAGCTTTTGACAAAATTCAACACCACTTCATAATAAAAACACTGAAGAAACTAGGGATAGAAGGAACTTGTCTCAATATCATAAAGGCTATATATGAAAAACCCAAAGCCAACATCATAGTGAATAGGAAAAAAACTGAAAGTATTTGCTTTAAAAC